GAATCATGTAGCTGTATCACACGACCCTGATCGAACCCACGGGCTCAACCTTACCAGCCACGGCACGGTAACCTCACGCCGCTGACGCACCAGGTACCGGATGGGTCCTCGCAATCAGAGATCCGGGATCACACCACCGAGTGGCATGCAGCTAGACCCTTGAGGCCCGGCATCCGTGCCGGCTCGGTTACTGGGCCGTGTATCATTGTCTGGTTGACACTACAGCCACACTACGGTAGTCTACCAAGTAGTGCTGGCGGATACACCCGAGCAAATTCTAAAAATGAAGGCAATTGGGCTGGTAATTGGAATTGCCCCTGGTGTTATTGGTTGTTTTCTGATGGATCTATCGTCAACGGCGTCGGTTGGCTATCTGGATTCTGGGGTACCGAACCCACTAGGTACAGGTATCTACCGATAGAGCACGAGAGCTAGACATAGGTACGACTACAGAGTGAAGAAGCCGTGCAGAATGCACAATGAATTGGAGAGTCAGACGTGACAATTTGCTAGACTAGGGGGATTCGAGGGCTCTCGCGACACTTGTTTATATTGTATTGTACTTGCGTTGCTAGGTATATTAGATAGATTCTTATACCTTCTGTATAAGATAGGATCCACGTCTATCGATATGCATTGAGATCTCTCACAGCTTCTGTCCAGCTGTCCAGAAAGTACCTATCTGTCGGATTGATGAAGCTCAAGTACAAGGCCTTGGACAGGATAAAATCATACCCGCCACCTGGATTAAGGCAATAGAAACAATAGCGCAACGACATTGGCTGGATGCTCTGAATCCGTACGTATTCTGATAACCGTATTGTATTGCTACTTGCATGCCAGCAGGAATAATACCCGTATTCAGCAGACATACCGGCCGTAGACTCGGGGCCGAGACAACCGCTGGTGACGAGTTTCAGCCGAAGCATCTTGGCAATGGCCCTATTCGAGGTTAGTGCGGTAACGGCCCAAGGCACCAAGGCACTAGTCTAGGTAACCATCGATCTTCCGTTTTCTCCCTTGATCCAACGGTCGTGGTGCAGCTGCTCGTCCACTCATTTTCGCCCGTTGACTTTTTTTGCATCCACTGTGCGGTTATCATCGTTCAGCCACTGTGGTACTTTCGATCTCTGACATCTGGACCGGTCACCTCTGACGTCGTGGTCTTTTTGTCTTTTTGTCTTTATGCAAGGAGATGGTCCTGATTTCAACGGCCCTCATCGGAGCCCACCGATGCTGGAATGCCCTASATCCGGCTGGGGTGATCACGGTTGCGCGTCACCGGCGACAGGTGGATTGCCAGACAAGCGAATCACCTCTAGCTCTGGCGACTTCTCGGCGTGGATCACGGAAAATATTCAATTGTGCACGGGCTTTATATATCTCCCGGTGCAGCCTTCCGACCTGAATTATCTTCTTCAGATCCACGGTCAGAGCTCCTGAACACAATTCGATATTTATATTTCCGCCTCCAGCTACGATCACATCCCTTTCTACACCGTACTCAACTAGCATCATCACCTGCCATGGCATACAACAGACCTGATGCCTCGACGGCATTCACCTTTGACAACGACGACCGCTTTGTCAACCAACAACCCAAAGGCCCCGATCCATTGTCGGCCAATTGGAGTTATGACAGCGCCATCGATCTGTTTTCGCTGAACACCATGCTTCCCGAGACCTTCCCTCTCGATATCCCCAATGATATGCTGCTCGATCCCAAGGATTTCCCTGTGGATCTGTTCGCTCCCCCGGCAGATATCAGCGGATTTGCAATCTCTCACTCTGGCGAGGACTCTCTCTCATCGGTATGTTCTCATATTACTGCCATGTTTACAAACTTACTGACAAGGACAATCCAGGATCTGGAAAGCGACGATCAACCATGGTCGCCAGCCTGCCGTGTCTCATCACTCGACTCGGCCACGATAGACGCCCCCGCTGTCTCGCCACGCACAAGTGAAAAGCCAACAACCCGCCGCAGAACGACCACCCAAAAACGCGAACAAGCTACCCGCTGGTCCTCCAGCCCTGAAATGACGCCGCAAGAATACCCCGTCACATCACAGGCCACCGCCTCTCCCGCTCCTGCACCCGTCTCTCCCCCTGCGGCCTCAACCTCCCGCAAGAACTCGCGCAGTCTCTCCACCGACTCGCAAACAGCAACAGGCCGCAACGCCGCCAAGCGGGCTGCCCACAACATCATCGAGAAGCGGTACCGCACCAACATGAACGCCAAGTTCGTCGCCCTGGAAAAAGCCATGTACGGCAGCCGGGTCCAAAAACCCACCAAGGGCGGGTCGGGGCCCGCCTCGCTGAAGAAGTCGGAGATCCTGACCAATGCCATCGCGTACATGCAGGAGCTGCAGGACGAGAACGCCGCGCTGCAGAAGGAGCTGGCGCTTCTGAAACAGAACCTGCTCCCGGGCGGGCTGTGGCGACATAACAAGGAGAGCGACAGGTTTCGCACGTAGCGAATCATATCCATCCTCTTCTTACGATCGCTGTATACTATAATGCCTTGACTTTATTAATTGGGCTACTCTCCTATCGGTGGCGCTGGGATTCCTTGACTAGTTAATATACCCAAAAGTTCTTATGCAGTTAGTGTACTGTTCGTACGAATGCTACCTTCGATGTACGCAGTAGTACCTAAGTGGAGTCCAACCTTAATCCCAGACATGAGCGAATTATCATAACCACTCCCTTCTTCGTAGCCTGTCAGAAAATAACGCTAGCCTATTTTAGCTCATCTCCGCCCAGGCACCCCGAAGCTAATATATTAGACAGTTGAATGAAAGTACTTTTATGCAGGTGAATGTAACGCAATCACCCTCCATGCAGATCACTCCGCACCCTATGGCGGATCTAGACCAGTCCTATCCAACTCGTACCAAGTAGGAAGGACCTTTGGTTCCTGGTTGGGGCGACCGTTCGACAAGGATACTGACTTGGCATATGGGTTGAGGAATCTCCCTCGTCAATTTACCCTGTGAGGGCAACAGATACCTGCTCGACTGGGTTTTTGTTCCTTGTCCTTGACTACAGGGTTAGGGGTTAGGACTGGGTACGAGTAAAGAGGTGTTCTTCACATGAATGTGTGCATAAGTACGTTGTGTTGTGTTGTGGCGGGTAGAGTCGGGATCTGCCGATTAATCCCTGCTGTTTGTGTTGCCTTTGCGTTTGTGGCTATTGATGAACGTGGATGCGAGGCGAAGGCGACTGATGCTGATGTGATATAGCTGTACTTTATTCTTCATCCGCCAATAATGTGGCAGTGATCGCGCTGAAATGAAGATCAGATCGACGTTGGACTTGGTCGAGGGGTACCTTCACCAAAACATCCGCAGCTGTCAATGACAGGTTGCCGTTCGTCTCAATTGAGTGACTTTGAGGATTACTTGGAACCAGGGTTGCAGGGGTCGATGATACTACCTTCGGACAGCACTAACCTTCAACCATGTAGGGCGCACAGACCCTTGGACCCTACCTGCTTTCTCGATCGTGTGTCGGAAGCTTCAAGAACATGTCGTATGTATAGTGTATGCGGCCCTGGGTGCAGTGGTCAATGCATGAAGAGATAGGTTGAGTAAAGGGGCATGTGCGACTGCAGCAGAGGGCAGTGCCTGCGTGTGCTAAAAGATCGGCCTGGGAAGATTGTATTTCTGCGATGACCAGTACGCGCAGGGCCCGCGGGCTGGAAGGTATGAGGTTGACACGATATTTGCTAGGTTCTTTGCCTTATGCGAGGGTCAAAGTGTTAGTATCTGGTCGAGCTGAGGGCATTCAGTCAACGAGGTTACTATGCCAGTTATAAGTCAGCGTTCCGCTCATGTGCAGCATTTTGAGTGCCTCACATGCACCGGAGAGGCGAGTTTCCTCAGGAGAAATAAAGTCATCCACGGGCAGTAATCAGCATCCAGAACGAAACAAACAATGTCAGGATCAGTCAGGGTGGGGTCAGACATCGGTGCTTGGACCGGTCTGTGTGATAAAACTGAGATAGMAGTAGTTGATGCCCCGGCATCACTGAGGCTGTGCAAGGACGATTCAGCTAGAATGATCACAAATGCAACCACCTTGTCAGCTTGAACAGCTATCAACCATCATCATCGTCTCTTGCAGCTTTATATCTCTAACCTGGACTTATCGACTTATCGAGAAGCTAGGAGAATCAATAATGGTGCACCGGAGTCCGGACACCAGAAGGACCCTACACTCAGGAGCTGAGGAGATGAGGAGACCCAGCTCTCAAGAATAAGCATAGATTGATAATATCAGCCCCACTAATGTCAACAACCTTTCTATTCAAGCATTTCAAGGCATCGATGGAAGGTTAAATTTCGTTAGCTTCACGAGGCTATTCTCGTCGGGCCGGTATCTCAACTGCCGCGTCATCTTCAGTGGCTTTGCGAAAGCCAATGACGCGGCCGGTCTGTCCCACAGCACTTGATCTGCGCAGCGTTCAAGTCTTCAGGCAGGCAGCCAGACTGCAGCCTTGAAGAACACCGCTTGAGATGATAAAATCCCCACAATTCTTCACCTCCCACCGGATACGACTTTATCCGAAATCGCATCCATTCTATGTTGGTGGGAAACCAGTACCCCTGGTCCAAGATCTGACGCGGGAACGGCTCTTAGTCCCGCATCTACCTGCTTAAGCTTCCATGGTATACGTACATCAGCATCCTGAAAGATTATGAAAGATGCTCTGAATGCTTGTATTTCGTCAATTAATGTGTTCCAGGTCCGTCGCGGGTCTTGCCCTAAGCGTAGACTTACGTACTCGTGCGGCATCCATAAACAGATGACGACGACAATGAGGGCTCAGCCTTGTTCTCAGCTAACCTGAGATGGGTTCAGTATCTAATGAATAGGCATGATCTGCATGAGCTTGGGGTGAGCTACTTCATATAAAGCCCCTATCACCATGCCCATATTCGACAGCTCTCCATTCATTGATCCACCACTCATTCCTGTCATTCTTAACTCCCATTATGCGTTCCTCCCACGGCGCAGCTGTTGCTGCTCTGGCAGCGGCAGCCAACGCTGCATCTCTCGCCGATGTCTGCACTGTCTCCAAGGTGCGGTCCGCCCTTCCTTCGAACGGAACTCTTCTCGGTATCAACCTGATTCCTTCCGCCGTGACTGCGAGCGCGGTCTACAACTCTACCTCTAGCGGCGGCATGGGTGGCATGGGTAGCTCCAGCAGTGCCAACTACCCGTACTGCAATGTGACGGTCGCCTACACTCACACTGGTAAAGGCGACAAGGTGGTTGTCAAGTATGCCTTCCCCCAGCCTTCCGACTTCAAGAACCGGTTCTACGTTGCCGGCGGTGGTGGCTACTCCCTCTCCTCCGATGCCACTGGCGGTCTGGAGTACGGTGCGGCGTCTGGTGCCACCGATGCGGGTTACGATGCCTTTAGCTACAGCTACGACGAGGTGGTTCTCTACGGCAACGGATCGATCAACTGGGACGCCACGTACATGTTCGCCTACCAGGCCCTGGGTGAGATGACCACTCTCGGCAAGACATTGACCAGAAATTTCTACGGCCTGTCCAGCGATGCCAAGGTCTACACCTATTACGAAGGATGCTCCGACGGTGGACGTGAAGGAATGAGCCAGGTTCAGCGCTACGGCGATCTTTACGACGGCGCCATCACCGGTGCCCCAGATTTCCGCTACGCCCAGCAGCAGGTCAACCACGTCTTTCCCTCGGTTGTCGAGACGACTCTTGACTACTACCCTCCACCTTGCGAACTGGCCAAGATCGTCAACGCCACCATCGAGGCCTGTGACCCTCTCGACGGCCGCACTGATGGTGTTGTCTCCCGCACCGACCTCTGCAAACTTCACTTTGATCTTTCGAAGATCGTCGGTGAGCCGTACTATTGCGCAGGGGTGACGAGCACCTCGCTCGGCTTCGGCTTCAGCAAGCGCCAAGCCCCGGGCAGCACGACCAGCTACCAGCCTGCGCAGAACGGCACCGTCACCAAGGAGGGTGTGGCTGTCGCCAAGGCCATCTACGACGGGCTGCACAACACCCAGGGCGAGCGCGCCTACCTCTCCTGGCAGATTGCCTCGGAATTCTCCGACGCGACCACCGAGTGGAACAACGACACCGGCTCCTGGGAGCTTAGCATCCCGTCCACCGGCGGTGAATTCGTGACCAAGTTCGTCCAGCTCCTGGATCTCGACAACCTGTCCACCCTGGACAATGTCACGTACGACACCCTCGTCGAATGGATGAACACCGCCATGTTTCGCTACCTGGACAGCCTGCAGACCATCGTGCCGGACCTTACCACCTTCAAGTCCTCAGGCGGCAAGCTGCTGCACTACCATGGTGAATCCGACCCCAGTATCCCCGCCGCGTCGTCCGTGCACTACTGGCAGTCTGTGCGCTCGATCATGTACCCCGGTGTGTCGGCCTCGAAGAGTCTGGAGGACCTCCAGGAGTGGTACCAGTTTTATCTTATCCCCGGTGCGGCGCACTGCGGTACCAACTCCCTGCAGCCCGGTCCTTACCCGGAGAACAACATGAACATCATGATCGACTGGGTGGAGAAGGGCGTGCGGCCGACCCGGCTGAACACCACGGTGTCCTCTGGCGACTACGCCGGCGAGACCCAGATGCTCTGCCAGTGGCCTACCCGTCCTCTGTGGAAGAACAGCTCGACCTTTGACTGTGTCAATGACGAGAAGTCGATCGAGAGCTGGACCTACACCTTCCCTGCCTTTAAGGTTCCAGTCTACTGATCGTTTGCAGGACATTTTTATTCTTCACTCGAATCACTCCTTCTACTGGCATGTAGCATTGGATTTAGTTAATGAATCATTTAGTTGGCATAATACAAATTATTGTAAAAAAAATAAATTAAATAAAAATATAAAAAAATAAAAAAAGAAATTGGGGTGAGCCGGGATTGAACCGGCGACCTTACGATTAAGTGACTGAGTAACTTCAGTCGTACGCTACTCCCAGCTGAGCTATCACCCCATTTGATAGTAGAGGGTGGAAAGTAAAGTATCATAAAGGGAGATACAGCTTTCAATCACATTACCAATAATGTAAGGCCAACAAAGTATCAAACACAAGGTAAATAAATGAAATTATTTTCATAAGAAATCAAGAATATTTCATATACAATTCATGTTTCAAAACAGGAAATCACTCCCTCTTGTCCAAACTCTCCCCATTCGACATTCTCCTGTACCACATCAGCTCTAGCCTCTATCCCAGACCCAAATTAGGAGACAAACCTCTGGAACTCCTCAATATCCCTCGCCATGTTCCCCGCGCCACTACTCCTCCGATCAGGATGATCATTATGCGACTGCCCGAAATTCCCGAGTAGCTCGTTGATCTCTGTCATCGACATCGTCAGCGTCTCCATGCGTAATGCACACACAAGGAAAGGAACATACCCTGCTGAGTCTGATGATGGCGCTGCTCAGCCTCCTCTTTCTGAGCGAGGGACTTTCTGCGGTCGTGTTTGAGGTGGCCGTGTTTCTGGAGGAGGTCCATTGTATTGTATCTTGTTTCTTTTTCTTGTATGTGGTTGTACAGAGATACCTTAGTTGTAGGTGGATAGATGATGTGATGATGGGATATGGCCGGGGTAGGGGTGAGGTATTTTATTTTTATATATGCATCAGTGTTGAGGAATAATTACATCATGATCTACATCTAGATACTCTTCAGAGAGAAGGGAGTATGGCACCTCTTTCTTGTTGAGGAATTGATGTGGACTGGTTGGATGTGCGTGGCGTGCGTCATAGTTTAGTGACTCTGGCGGATGCGGGGGTGGCCAAGCGGGCAACAGCTCACGAGGATAGATAGATCTAGGTACGGAGTACGGAGTAGATGCTGAGTATGTGGCTGTGCGTTTGTACTGTATTATAGACGATAAGGTATGCCTGTTGTGTATCATGGCTGAGGATATCCCGGTAACAGGGGTATGTACCAGCCGGTCGGGTCCAGTGCTGAAGCTGTCCATCTGCGCTACAACGAGTATCTGTCATCGGATAAGCATCGCGATAGAAATAAGGATACTTACATGGAGAATGACAGCTTCATGAGTCAATGATGGCATACGCAAGCGCCGAGTTGATATTTGGGTAGACGTAGTCTGAGCCACGCGAAGACGCAATCTTCAGGCCTCAGCCTCAGCCTCAGCCAACAGATGAACATTGACTGTATCATGATCCAAGTCAAGAAATTCTGGCTATTTCTGATACATCCCTTTCGTCCGGTTTATGTTGAGGACTAGTCAGTGCTTTGGTCGATTCTTGACATTGATGCAAGACCGAGCAAGTCAGTAAGACATTTATCAGGTACTGCAGTAGTGGTTTTCTACAAAGTGTTCTGCACGTAGATGTGGTATGATGCATAGAGACTATGTCATCGTTATGCACTCAATGTAGCCTTGACTTAGTGTCCATTAACGCTATGGATGAGCTTTGATGCTTGATATCAATCTGCCATATTGACCATCATTATGATCAATATCTGGTTCCAGGGGAGATAAGAGAGGTAAATATAAAGAGAGTTGAACACAACCTTGGGCCGGTTTTCTGGGGTACGGTTACACGTGGTATAGCTGGTCCGGAGTCCATTCTGAATTCCAGAGTACGTAACCTCCATATGCAAGCCAGAAATATCACATGTTGTGCACTCTGTGCTATTGACTCGGAGATATATATTTGTTACTGATTATGCTACTGCGGACTAAGTTACATATAACTGTTCAGAAGCTGATTCCGCCAAGTTCATGTGATACCGCTTGGTTGCCAAGAAAGGAGCAAAAGAACTTAATCCAAAAAGCAAAATAGCAAAGTCTAATGGAGACGATGCCATTGTCTAATGCCAAGCTCATTAAGAAAGTCCCTTGTCTAGCGGAGGCAAGCTACGGCAAGCCTCAATCACTCGTGCTTGTAGCGACCAAGCTGAGGGCGAGATATTGGCAGAGGACAAAGAACAGACCAATGATAGGCATATTCATCAATCTTCTCCCTATCAGCATCGTCTTATCGGCCATGTTTGATTGTCGTGTTGGATAATGGATACTACCTACCTACTCCATCTTCATCCTGCAATTGGCGAGACGGACCTTGCCGACAATGCAACTGTGGGCGGAGTAATGGAGTTCGGTTCCTGTTTGACTCTGGACCGAGGTAGATACGAACTGAAGGCGTTCTGCAAAGTAAGGATTGTATTCCTCATAACAGCAATAATAGCTGTTGACAGTTCAATAATTGATTTCGCTGTCAATACCACACTGGACCAAGAGTGTACGAACAAGGGATTGGTGTGCCTGGCAGCCTGACTCATGCAGCCTGACTCATGGGCGAGCTGTCTTGGCGGATTCTCGAGTTTCAAGGTTCAAGTAACTTTCAGGATCAACAAACAATTGCTATTAGAATCGGGCAAGCTACTTCCACATCACGCAATTCCTTCGTTCATCTTCCTCAATTCAGTAGATGACAAGTCGTACATGGAATCCCCGCACATGCTTATTATCTGCTATCTATCTACCCTGCGTATTCAATCTCTAGGACCAGTCCTAGCCGAAATGAGTCTGCCCCCGAGTGGAGCTCTCCTGACGATCCCCTCCCTGATAAGCCAGCCTCCAAGACACCAAGACCACCCCCTCGCGCCATGTAACTCTTCTGCAGGACCGCCGGAATTCCCGCCAGGGCACATCCAATCGAAAGGCCATCATGTCCTGGATCCAGCAGGACCCCGTCGGTCCTCCGATTTGTTCAGGCTCTCCATGGAGCTGTCCACCGTCGCTGTCCTCTGTAGGAAGTTAGGAACAGATACGCAGCTTGCAGGTGATGAGATGCAGTCGATCAGTGATCGGCCACGTTATAAATATCCTACCACCTCAATCCTCACTGACGCTCTTCGCCCTCACTTCCCCCATCCATTCTCCTCAATCTGTCCATAGACAGGCAGCGACATGTTTTCGTCACTCTTGAACCGTGGAGCTCTGCTCGCGGTTGTTTCTCTCCTGTCCTCTTCCGTTGCCGCCGAGGTTTTTGAGAAGCTGTCCACTGTGCCACAAGGTTTGTCCCCCGTATCACTACCTAAGAGGAGACGAGACTGACAAAACAGGATGGAAATACTCCCACACCCCAAGTGACAGCGATTCCATTCGCCTGCAGATCGCCCTGCAGCAACATGACGTCGAAGGTTTCGAGACCGCCCTCCTGGAAATGTCCGATCCGTACCACGCAAACTACGGCAAACACTTTCAAACTCACGACGAGATGAAGCGGATGCTGCTGCCCACCCAGGAGGCTGTCGAGTCCGTCCGTGGCTGGCTGGAGTCCGCTGGAGTTACGGATATTGAGGAGGATGCAGACTGGATCAACTTCCGCACAACCGTTGGCGTGGCCAATGATCTGCTCGATGCCGACTTCAAGTGGTACGTGAACGAGGTGGGCCACATTGAGCGTCTGAGGACCCTGGCATACTCCCTCCCCCAGTCGGTCGCATCGCACGTCAACATGGTCCAGCCCACCACGCGTTTCGGACAAATCAAGCCTAACCGGGCGACCATGCGCGGTCGGCCCGCGCAGGTGGATGCGGACATCCTGTCGGCGGCCATCCAAGCCGGCAACACCTCCACTTGCGATCAGGTCATTACCCCTCAATGCCTCAAGGATCTGTACAACATCGGCGACTACAAGGCCGACCCCAAAGGGGGCAGCAAGGTCGCTTTTGCCAGTTTCCTGGAGGAATACGCCCGCTATGACGATCTGGCCAAGTTCGAGGAGAAGCTGGCCCCGTATGCCATTGGGCAGAACTTTAGCGTCATCCAGTACAACGGCGGTCTGAACGACCAGAACTCCGCCAATGACAGTGGTGAGGCCAATCTCGACCTGCAGTACATCGTTGGTGTCAGCTCCCCCATTCCTGTCACCGAGTTCAGCACCGGTGGCCGGGGTCTTCTCGTTCCGGACCTGAGCCAGCCCGACCCCAACGACAACAGCAACGAGCCTTATCTGGAATTCCTGCAGAATGTGTTGAAGATGGACCAGGACAAGCTTCCTCAGGTCATTTCCACCTCCTATGGCGAGGATGAGCAGGTATGTCAGCTTTCCATAGCATATTACTAAACTGACGTTGTTAGACCATTCCTGAAAAATACGCTCGCTCGGTCTGCAACCTGTACGCTCAGCTAGGCAGCCGCGGCGTTTCGGTCATCTTTTCCTCTGGCGACTCCGGTGTTGGCGCGGCTTGCTTGACCAACGACGGCACCAACCGCACCCACTTCCCTCCCCAGTTCCCTGCGGCCTGCCCATGGGTGACCTCGGTGGGTGGCACGACCAAGACTCAACCCGAGGAGGCCGTGTACTTTTCGTCCGGCGGTTTCTCCGACTTGTGGGAGCGTCCTTCGTGGCAGGACTCGGCGGTCCAGCGCTATCTCAACAAGCTTGGCCCTCGCTACAAGGGCCTGTACAACCCCAAGGGCCGTGCCTTCCCCGATGTTGCTGCTCAGGCCGAGAACTACGCCGTGTTCGACAAGGGGGCGCTGCACCAGTTTGACGGAACCTCTTGCTCGGCTCCCACCTTCAGCGCTATCGTCGCTTTGCTGAACGATGCTCGCCTGCGCGCTCGCAAGCCCGCCATGGGTTTCCTGAACCCCTGGCTGTATAGCAAGGCCAGCAAGGGATTGAACGATATCGTCAACGGAGGCAGCAAGGGCTGTGATGGTCGCAACCGATTCGGGGGTACTCCCAATGGCAGTCCCGTGGTGCCATATGCCAGCTGGAATGCCACGGAAGGCTGGGACCCGGTCACTGGACTAGGTACTCCTAACTTTGGCAAGCTCCTGTCTCTTGCTATGCGGAGATAGTCCGGCATTTTTTTCGGAGAAATACAAACATGAATGACTTTTCTTGCACGTATGATATCAAAGTTGTATACTGTGTAGAACAAACGATTGGTTACAGCCCGAGTTCATATTAATGAGGCTGAAAACACCAAGCGAAGAGAGTCGGTGGGTTGTCGACGATCGACGCCCGACCTCGTATCGCAGAGAACTACCCAATCCTCAACCCCCATGCGAATTAGACTTTGGAGCTGCCAAGCAGGAATACGAGGTTTGTCCCGTCCAACGTGGCACAGCAGCCATACCCCGGTCACATAAAGCACTCTCCTTTTCCTAAAACTTTTCCATTGCAGAATTACGAAGATCACGTTGAAAATGCTCCTCTCACTTGTCACCATCATTTCCGTCTTCCAGCTGGCGGTAGCCACGACCGTCAGCCCGCCGATCCTCTACGACCGTCACGCATCACAAGAGGGCTCCCTCGAGAAACGCGCAAACTGCGGAGATGGCAGCCAGTGTCTTCTGGGCACATGCTGCGGCGACGGATGCGCCTTGAACTGTTGCGCGTACGATAACGGCGGCCGTAAGCAGTCCCTTTCCATTTTGCCATTCCGCTAGACTAACGAGGGATAAAACTACAAGTGGGCTGCGGAATCGCAGAACGGTGCCAGTTCAGCGGGAATGTGTTTATCGGGTGCTGTGGGAATTTCCTCGGGTACGTCATACGTCCCCTTCTTTCTTTCCTGGATGTCAAAGTGCGGGTGCTGATGGGTCGCAGGGGCTGCACGGGCGAAGCTACGCGTGTCACGGTCCATTCGCCTTACTCGACTGTTACGCTCGGCGCGCCTACGAATGCGAATACTGCTACGGCTACTACCACGACGGAGCAGACGTTTACGGCGATTTCGGTGACGCCGACTGCGACCGCGACCAAGACTACGTCGAGTGAGACTCAGACAGAAAGTAGTTCGCATTCTCATCGCGTCTCGACGTCAAGCACGACTGTAACCCAGGCCGAGACCACGTCGAGTAGTAGCTCTCGTAGTTCGACGACAACAGCGGCGTCCTCGCAGGCTTCGCCGTCGCCGAATAATGGCTTGGGATCTGGCGTCGGCGTGGGAGTACCCGTTCTGGGTGGGATGGTTGCTCTGGGTGCTGCTTTGTTGTGAGGATGAATTGATCTCGAGACTGGGAGAGACTGAGAGTATACCTTATATATATGCCTAATTAATGTTTACCTCGCATTTACTTCATCAGTGCCGCGGAAGAAATATCTCATCTTCGGACCATTGGAGCGTAAGGTACGGAGTAGATGGAGACGCAGATCGCGATCGCTTGCTGACTGCTGTGTCTTTGCCTCGCATCGACTTTCCTTTTCAGGATACTCCTTTCTTCTCCAATAAAACCTAGAAAAGGTTCCTGAGATATTTCAGCTCCTATCAGCTCGGTTGTGGATATTATTGACGTACCAGGTACCAACCGCAGTCAGGAGGTCCAGCCGAGAAGAAGGTTAACCCCGCAAAGTGAAAAATCTAGTCTGGTGCGGACTGCGGATTTTGCGCACGCCGCCAACAAATCACTCACGGGCCAGTTATCAATATCATCGCCAAAATGATGATCCCTCATTACCAATAATCTGGAGTCAGTATCTAGACTGTATCGTCTATCTTTGTGTTTGATATCCCGCGTCTTTCGTGAGGGGAAGTGTCAGTGTTTGTCTGTGCTGGGCATATATGACCCAGACCTGCACTGCACTACACTGCAACAGAATGGACATGCGTGATATTTCTCCACCTCACAATTCCCTCCCCTAATTGCTGTACTGCTGTTGATGGACGTGGAAAACATCAAACTGGCCGATTCGGCTTCGGTCGACCAGAGCGTGCAGGATGCGCGCGATCTCGCGACCATGGGGCACGACCAGGCCCTGACCCGCAAATTCGATTTGTGGAGTATGCTCGCGCTGGCGTTTTGCGTATTAGGTATTTTTTTTCTTTCCTGAGGTTTCCTGCGGAATAGTGGACGATGATGCTAATTCCAAGTAGGAACGTACTCCACTTTCGCGCAAGGGCTCAGCAGCGGCCTCACCAACGGCGGCCCCATCACCATCCTCTGGGGTCTGGTGCTCGTGACGGCGTGTAATCTGTGTGTTGCTGTGTCTCTGGGCGAGCTGACGAGTAGCATGCCTACTGTGCTGGGGCAGGCGTACTGGGTGTACAGGCTGTGGCATACGCCGACGGGGCGGTTCGTGTCGTACCTGTGTGCGTGGATCAATACGTTCGGGTGGTGGACGCTCACGGCGTCGCAGATTGCGTTCATGACGGAGTTTCTGCTCGGGATGAAGGTCATGTTTGATGAGAATTGGGGTGGCGCGGGGGTGGGCTGGCTGCAGTTTGTGATTTATCTGGGGCTGGTGCTGGTTCTGACGGTGGTGAATGTGGTGGGGTGTCGACGGGAGAAGATCCTGCCGTGGTTGAATGGGTTTGTCGGCGTGTGGTTCACCGGGTTGTTTGTGGTGCTGTCGCTTGCGCTGTTGATTTCTGTCGGGACCAAGGCTGAGCTGTCGTTTCAGCCGGGTCGGTTTGTGTTCGGGGCGTGGATCAACCAGACAGGGTGGAGCGATGGCGTGGTGTGGTTTACTGGGTTGGTGCAGGCGGCGTACGGGCTTACTGCGTTTGACGCTGTTATCCACATGGTCGAGGAGATGCCGGCGCCGAGGATCAATGCGCCGAGGGTGACGTATCTGGCGGTGCTGTCGGGCGCCGTCACCGGGTTCATCTTCATGGTTGTCTGTCTGTTTTGTATGCAGGACGTGGACAAGGTTGTTGATTCGCCCAGCGGACTGCCGTTCATCGAGTTGATGCTGGAGACGGTCGGCCTCAAGGGCGGCGCCACGCTGATCGCGCTGTTCATTTTCAATGGCGTCGGCCAGGGCATCAGTATCCTGACGACTGCCTCGCGACTGACCTGGGGTTTTGCCCGCGACGGCGGCCTCCCCTGGAGTCGGTACCTGACGGTGGTGGATCCCGCGTGGAAGGCTCCTGTGCGCGCACTCTGGGCGCAGGGGGTATTGATCGCGCTCGTGGGCGTGCTCTACCTCTTTGCCAACACCGTCCTTGAGGCCATCCTGAGTGTCAGCACCATCGCCTTGACCATCTCGTACGGCCTGCCGATTGCGGTGCTGCTCTTCGTGGGCCGGGACCAGCTGCCGCCTGGCCCGTTTCGCCTCGGCCGCTGGGGAACGGCAGTCAACTGGGTCAGCATTGTATATTGTGCCATCACTACCGTCTTCTTCTTCTTCCCTGGCTCGCCGGACCCAGCGCCAGGGGACATGAACTACGCGATTGCGGTATTCGGGGTGATGCTCGTGGTGGCAGTCGGGTTCTGGTTTATACAGGGCAGTCGGACGTACCTACAGACGGCGGATGCGATTGCGCAGCTGATTCTCGCGCAGGGATTGGAGTTGGAACCGGAACCCAGAAAAAAGTCTGATCAATGATGTGAACTATGAAACTAGTTATATATCAGCTAGCTCCTTTTCCGCTTTCATGATCATTTCCTCCCAGTTCCTGCCCGCCAGCCACTCCTCAAACGACTTTGTCCGTACCCCCAGCTGCTCAGGCCTCATCACCTCGAGTGAGCCCGTATACCCAAACTCGGCCATAAACCGCGGCGCATCCAACACCTCCCACGGAATCTTGAACCGCTCATGCATCTCCCGCACATCCACCTCTTCCACCTCAACCTCCCACCCAGTCACCCTCTTCCACACATCCACCACCTCCCCCATGGACAGGTAGCTATCACACCCCAACACCCACCTCCCAGTCCCACTCTCACTCACACTTTCAACCATCGCCCTGACAAACTCCCCCGTCGAACTCTCCGCCGCAATAATCGGCACCCGCAGCGTCTTCGTCCCGGGGATCGTAAACCGTAACACCCTCTTCCCCTCGCCCGCCGCAACCACCCTCGGCAAAAAAAGCGCATTCGTCGCATACGCCCCCATCACCAGAAACGACACCTTGCCTCGCAACCTCTCCTCCCCCCGTAGTATCTTCGCTATCTCCGCCTTCGTATCGCAGTGGTGCGCACGCGCGTACTTTCCCCCAGATAGTTCCTTCATCCCGGGGAGCGTGGAGTATACCAGTCTCTGTAGAGAGGATACCTCCCCCGCCGCGATGGCCGCGTTCCGCCCGTGCTGGACCTCAGTGTTGTAAGCGAGCGCAGTGTCCCGCGTGGCGCGGTACGGACCCCAGAAATCGGTGTTGAGGAAGAGGGCGGTTGCGTCTTTGAAGGCGCGGCGGAGGGAATCGAGGTCGGAGAGGTCAGCTTGTACGACTTCTGCGCCGGCGGCGGCGAGGGCGCGCGCGGCGGGGGAGGAGGGGGTGCGGGTTATGATGCGGACGTGCCAGGTTGGGAGGGGGAGGAAGGTGGTTGCGACGGCGGAGCCTTGGATTCCTGTTGCGCCGGTGATGACGATGATTTTTTTGTTCTGGGACATATTTAATTGTGTGTGGATTGGTTGATGATGAGGATGATGAGAGGATCCTGAGGAGTTGACTGTACTTATTTATAATCTCGGGACTGTCTTTGAGCCAGTTGCCTGGCTTATACTGGGTGGCTTACGCGGAGAGTATGATGCTATTCGGTTATCCAATGGTGTACTCCGATTGGTCAACTGGCGTAAGCCATCGGTGGATTATTCCTCCCGCACTCCCCACCATCCATCCCACTACATACTCTTATCCGACTGCAGAGCATACATGGAATGGAATGGATGATAGTCCATCAAAATGCAAACTGCAAAGCCAGGCGCAAAGTCCAAGTCCAAGAGGATCATCACCCCCGCTCGACGGGACCAGAATCGTCGTGCGCAGCGGGCTTACCGTGGGTTCTCGTTATTTGTCCGTGTGCTGTGCAGCGTGCTGACATGAACAGGACAACGACGGAGAGAGTTTCTGGCCAAAAAGCAGGGACAGGCTGGTTCCAAACGGGAGTTGAGACCTGCGACTGCTCCTATGTCGAAAGACACGACGGCGAAAAGTCTGGACGTAGCTAGGAAAACCGTGCCAGCAATGCTGACGGTAGATCACTTCTTTCCTTCGAATCCATCTAGCAAAAGCGATAAGGAAGAGGCCGTCGGAAACAAAGTACTAAAAGTTCCACCTCCGCTATTCAACACATACACCCTCCTCCTCACAGCCTGCGTCTACAACGCCGCAGCCCTCGGCATCAGCATCGACCAGTTCTCCAGCTACAACTGCATGTCCCTATGCTCGCCTTTCTACCGTCCCTACACCGCCATGTCGGCAGATCCGTCATCACTCTTAGCTACAGTTACTCGCCCAGCCATCCCACTCCACCTCCGCCCGACTCTCCCCCAGATCCTCTTCCCGCATCACCCGCTCCTTGATCTCCTCCCGCTGCCGGCGCTGCGAGCAAAAGCAATTACCTTTTCTGCAACCGCGCCATCCCTCCTCGACGCAGTTGAGTTTAAACGAGATATCGTCGAGAGGGGCGGAATTGTATGCTCGTCCGAGTCTGCCAGAGGTATGCAGCCGTGGGATATGCGCGCTTGGACGATTGCGCCGTGGTTTAGTAGGAAGTGGCGGCTGCTCTCTGAGTCTGGAGATCTCGCGTAGCTTGTCTGTGTACGCGAGCTTGAATCCGCGGTAGCTGCACCGGGATGCGTCTGGGACTCACCAGTTACAGTTAGGTTACTGCGTCGGGCAACCGTGTTTGAAGCAATAGTTCGTGTTGTTGAATGCCAGACGGGCAGCTGCCGATATGCGGGTGTGCTACGCCATTAAGAACGGCCATGCCGGCTGGTACGACGAGCGAACGTCGATGTCAGTGAGATAGTGTATCGATGTTTGTTAGCTTGGCTGCACTCTGCGGGAGAAGGAGGAGCTCTGTCAAGCGCCTGTGTTCTTGCAACTCTCGATGAAGCTAAACGGATGTCTCAAGCTCATAAGCAAGACCTGCAAGACTTTGTGGTCTGAACCGTGCTGGGATGAAGGGCACGGCCTACATCATGAAGGCGCTGTGGCTCCATATCCTTTCTGTCAAGAGCGATAACGCTGATGATGAGCGTGGGGACATTGATTTCTACGTTTGTGTTCTGTGGTCGATTGAGGGTACGCAGGGTGTCCAGGTCAGCTGACGAGATGTGTCCGTTCATCCCCTATCCTGATGTTGGTAGAGATTGCAATTGTATTCTGAGGAGGACAGCATAGCAAGACCTAATAAAGGTGAACAAGTGAAGTTGTCCTTGTCATGGAGTGTTTGGAGAGACGAGTTTGTGGTGGAACCGTGGAAGGGGGTCGAAACACCCTGTACCCAACAGTAGGGCGGAGGGCGTGGATCCTGTGGACCATGGTTGTCAGTTATTGAATTATAATACCACTGGGCCAAAAGGGTGTCCGGACATGGTCCTCATCAGTCTAGGGTCTCATATCCATAGTCATAGTGGTATTATATATTTTTAACATCAGTGCTCCGCATCTCTCTCTCAGAGACCGTCCTAATTCTGCCTGGTTTATTTAACGTGGGTCTTGTTTGGAACCCTCCGCCTCCGTGACCGCCCAGATATAGGGCGAGGCGGTGTTGGGTCTGCGGAGTGCGAACTTTAGCTGAACATCTTTCAGCATTCGTGGCCTTGTATTGCGCCGCAGACTTATATTTCTTGTAGATCTAGAGGTTCTACCGGTGAGCAGATGGTCCTACGATAATCCGAGGGCTATCTGCCTCGGTTAGATAGCTTCATTAGCATCTCTCTCTTCTAGATAGCTACGAATCCATGCGGCTTCATCTTTCACTTCCCTCAAGAGAGGATGTGGAAGAAACAATTTTATTCTCCTCTACTCCGGCATCTGACCCACGACAGTTTTGCTAGTGGTTTTCGACACAACCCCTTTTCCAATCTGAGACGGTCCTTGCATCTGGCGATGCCTGAGAAAGAGCCAACGATCAACGAAACCAGTCTGTTTTCGAGTCCTTCCTGCCATTCACTTATACTTATAGATTCTAATAAATACAGAGTCGAAAGCAGTTAGCCAAGATGATCTGTTTAGATATACTTCCGGCCGATGGATGATCAATGAGAAAGACCAACTTCAGCAACGTTTTGTCAAATTCAATGTCGAGAGCCTCTGCTATCAAGCCTCGTCACTTTTTGGCGATGCTACTAAATGCGTTCGCATCGTCAAGTTGGAAGGAAACTTTAACAAAGCTTTCCTGCTCACAATGGACAACGGCAGCGAGGTCGTCGCGAAGATTCCTTGTCCGAATGCAGGAACGCCCTCCCTGACGACGGTGTCTGAGGTGGCGACGTTGAAGTTTTGTATGCTTCTGCTTGTTGTTCTTGATGTTTTTGACATACTTACATGCTTGTCTTAGTGCGATCATATACTTCGATCCAGGTTCCGGAAGTGTTAGCTTGGAGTTCAGACGCAGCAAATCCAGTAGGTGCTGAGTATATCATTATGGAGAAGATTCCAGGGGTTCCGCTCGCCGAAAGATGGGAAACAATGAAAATTCTAGAGCGCTACAAAGTAATCGACCGAATTGTCGCAATGGAGAAAGAGCTTGGGAGCCTGCAGTTCCCGGCCTATGGGAGTCTCTTTCTACGAGAATCTGTGCCTTCTGAATATCGCCATTATGCACTGTCCTCGGCCTTGGATCCTGCCAAATTGTTCTGTGTTGGGCCATCATGTGATCAATCAATGTGGCACAAATACTTGGCTGACGAGTCCAAAGCTGTGCAGGATGTCGGACCATGTGAGTTTTTGTGTTCTTTTCCTTGCTGTATTATGTGCTCCCTGACACTTTACAGGGACCTCTCTTTCGGACTTTGCGCTATCAATTCCACAACGAGAATTGAGGTTCATTGCAAATGAGGCAGCTGAGGTACAGCATCATCTTAATTGTTTCAGCGAGAGACAGTCAGTCGACGAATACAGCGACCTTTTACAAAAAGTGAAGGATATTCTTCCTATTCTGTCACATCATCCACGTGTGGTGGAAGTGGCGGGACCAGCCTTGTCGCATACTGATTTGCATTTGGGAAATATCTTCGTCTCCTCTGACGACCCCACTGCCATCGAAGGAATAATTGATTGGCAGTCGGCTCAGATTGCTCCCTTGTTCATACAGGCTCGATTTCCGGAGTTTCTGAGGCCGCCAAAGGATTACAACCCAGGCACCGCAATCCCCAGTTTACCGGACAATTTTGAGGAATTAAATCCCGAGCAAAAGGAACGAGCTATGAAGGACAAGACGTTGGCTACCCAGTCTAAATACTATGAAATGTCTTGCCTTGCATACAACAAACATGTCCATAAGGCCATGAGGCTTGACCGGAGTCTTTGGGAGCCTTTTACGTGTTGCCAGCTTTTCTCAAATGGCAGCTTGGTCCCACTAAGAAACTCACTTATACGCATTTCCCAGTACTGGGCGCATTTGGAACTTCCAGGAAGCTGTCCCTTTGCGTTTCCCGAAGAGGTGTTAGACATGCACAATGAACAGGTAGTGAAGTATCAGGATATGCTCTATTTGCGTGACATTGTGAAGACCCAGCTTTGCACAGATGACAGGGGCTGGATCCCAATAGAACGATGGGAGGAGACAAACAAGATGAATAAATATCTCTTCGACATGTATATCGAGACTATGAGTGAGGAGCTATCACCAGATGCAGCTGCGAAGACATGGCCCTTTCCACCGAATGGCTCTTGCGTTTGACGCGAGTCTAGAGATTTTTCTTTGCTTGTTCAATCAATTTCGACACCACACGCTGGCCCTCTTCGGATTGTTTATCCTCCGGAGTATTCCTGTTCACCTGTGCCGTTGCGAGCTTTCCATGTGGATTCTTTCGAAGCCAACCTCTGAGTCCATCACTCTTTGCCTGGCTTTTTCACTTGGAGATACACATTATGGTATCCTGGTTTATCCTTGACTTTCTCTCCCATATCGATCCGACATTGATACTCAGCATCGTTCTTACTGGTCCGGGATGGTAGGATTCGACTTCCAGCTGTGGACTCTTTGAATAGTTTGGCAACTTGCTTCGAATCGGTCGTGACCTTTTCACCGAATTTCTTGAGAGCACTGGCCACTCTGCGATGCTCGGCTGTCTCAGCTGGAGGTACTATGAGGCTCACGTGATTCAATTTCAATCCAGATCGTGTGGACATACATTGATATCCAAAATAACTTTCCAATCACCTGATCGGGTCCACGCTCGGTTGGTATTCTCGACTTTGGCTGTTCAACAATTGAACGGAACCATGGCTGGAATGTCCGATTCGAAGTGCTTTAAATGCTCACATATGTGCTCTAAATCTTGCGGCCATATTGTCGCCGGCGAGGGGAACACAGGAGTCGAATTCAGCGGCAAAATGACTACCTTCATTTGCTGTGGTCATCGACCCAACTGCTCGGGAAACAAGCGAGTGTTTTACCGCTGCCAGTCGACCAGCCAGGTTCTCATCCACCAAAGGGCTAATGACAAAAGTTCTCTGTTCCCTCGGTTAAGCTGAGGGTTTGTGTTAATGCAATCTTACCTCTTGACTTGCTCGCACTCACATATCCCGTCAGAGACAGTGAGAAAAGGCAGTCATAGGCAAATTCCTTGCTTGCTTTGTCGGCCAATGAGTGTCGTAGAGATGGGCGGGTTCTGCGACACTTCACGAGCAATTGTGCGGACATCCAATAAGAAAATAAGAGTTAGCGCTGCTCCTGGGAATACGGGCTCCGGCTAGTAGGAGTTACTCGATCAGAGCCAACTCGCCCATTATTAGCCGCACCCCAACCACACCTAGTGCAACCTCAATGACAAGAGCCTTCAGGAGGACCTTAACAAAGCGAGTGCGAGCAGGCCAATCAAAGGTGGTCCAGGCGTCTCTAAGGCTGAGCTTGCCACTACCACCCACAATTTCGGGTTTCACCTTGCCGCCAAAATGACGGTCGAAGGGCACGATCGGGTCATCCTCGTCGGGGCAGCATAGAGGCAGCCACACGAGTGAATATTCCCCTGGCGGGAACAGAAACCAATAGGAGAAATACAGTCGGGAGAGCGTTAATGGCTAGGACACGGAGAAGCTCTTTATATCCCCCATTGGTGACAGCGATCATGGCGGTCCAGCCAGCGGGCCCTGCAGAAGCCATGGGCAGAGAGAAAGCCGCACACATTAGGAAATTGTACAAAGCAGCCGCAGGGGCAATTCTAGGCCAATGCCGGAGGCCAAGCATTCGCCGGTAGGAGCTCCTAGGAGATTTTTCGGCGATCACAAGATGAACCCAAGCCATCTGCCAGGTGGCGAAGAGCATGCTGGCGATGAACTGTCCCAAAAATGAACTGAAAAGTGGACCGAAAAAATGGATCGAAGACAGTGGATCGGAATATCAAAAATAACTCGAATTAGAAGACCCGCGCCCAGATCGGACCCTGTGAAGGCCAGATACATACGAAATCCACGGAAGCACGACCAGATGCCACCACGGGTGCGTAGGTGCTTAATGGCTGAGCGTAGCCCGCTAGTGATAGGCTTAGCGGTCGATGCAGCTGCGACCTCGGGATCATCAGGGTCGAAGGAATCGTTGGAATCTTCGCTGTCAAGGCGAACGTAGGTCTTCGGGTTGGAGTCTTCGACCGCGGCCAGAGTCGCAATAACACGGATGCAGGTGTAGTCGACCTTTCGATGAGTTTAGATAGTTGCTGTTCCTAATACTAATACCGACTCACCCAAACGATTGCGAAACCAAATGCAACGGCCGTAAAAATGACAATTGAGAGGCCTAGCCATCCATCCAAATCCAATAGAGACTTTTCATGGTCTCGAAGCCGAGCGGAAATCAACTCGGTGCCCCGGCGTATGAGAACACTGCTAATAGATGACATGATGTTTGACTGAGGAAAATAATTGAAGAAACGTTGAAGAGGAAGAAGCGGGCCGAAGTTCTGAGTCAGAGTTGTACCAACGAGGGGGCTCTGGTTCAATATAAATACATATCTACATAGCGCCTAGACCATTGTTCTTTTTTACGTGCTGACGGCCCTTACGGCCCTTACTGGCCCCGAATCGTTGGAACATGTGGGTGGGCTAGTTAAGCGTCGCTTAAGGGACTGCGTCTCAGCCTAGAGTCCTAGACTGTCGGGACATACCGACTTCCTGCGCCGCCGGCCCTAGGCCGACCTCGCTTAGTCCTATTCTGCAATAGCCCAGTTAGTATTTTAGCGAAGGGTGTAGCGTGTAGCAGTTTTCGCTTTGAACAGAAGAGAGCTTTAGAAAAGTTGTGGGATTCTTGACATGTTAACAAAGTGTCAGCCTGAACTGACTGTATCCAAGCCTGCCGCCCTGGTATTCTCACTCATAGCTTGTGGAGGTCCCTGATCAATCGGCTGCAGATCACTGATTATAGCATACATCATGATGCGTAAGGTTATTCTTCTAGAGATAAGTAAGAATCAGAGCTTTCTCTTCTCACCTAAAACATCTTCCATACTGTGGCTACTAGCCTACTACCACTTCCTTCTTCTATAGCAACAAGACCTGTTGAAAAGAGGACAGATTGGGTTTAATCAGTAACCTCAATGAAACTGTTAGCAGCTATTCATAGCTTTTACGCGCTCATTATCCTCTAATGCTCTGAAAGACCCTCAGTGGTGAATTATAGCTGCCCATGCGCAGATTAGATATTAGGAACAAAGTACATAACCTATATAAATATGCCAGCCTGATCCCTCAGCTCATACTATGATTTCACTCAGTCCACAGTAATACAAGCCTCATATCCCATTTATCACTCTAAGCTTAGATGTAATATATAACAGTACTAGCAGGGATTTTCTCAGCTTAGCCATGGCTGTCATGTGGTAGCATTCAAGGCTCTAACTTCTATGTGCGTATATAGTCTTGACACAGCTCTAAGCGTTGCTCTATATGCATGTATGGCACCATCTCATACGCGTAACTTGTTAATGCAGTCCTAAGTAGCAGGCCACTGCGGGTTACATTAGAAAAATGGTTTTGGGTCACCCCCTGCAAAATACTGTGTACTTCAACCATTGAGGCATTAACTACGTCACGGAGCTTGTCAAGCCTCATTGTATCTCATGTGAACCGCCATAGTCCCATCTATAAAAGTTGGTCCATAGCCCAGCCTTGAAGAGTCAGTCATCTTCCGACACTCGGATTTTCCTGCTCATTCACAGCAAAGCCCCGTGTTATACTATAATGAAGACCATTTCTCTTGCTTCTTTGGGATTTGCCCTCTTCGCTGCCCTGGGAGTGGTGGCCAGCCGTCTCCACCCCGATTCTCTTGCATCAAGCGGTCTGGATGAGAGGAGTGATAATGGTGTTCAAGGCACCTATGAAGGGGTGAGTGCTAGCTCCTGCTGATTCTGATACAAGAGTATTCAACATACCACTCATGATTAAGTTTTTTTATAATGCTGCTGTCTTTCACTATTTCCTAAAGTACAAGCTATTGCTCCATAGTAGGTAGCATTGTTCTGAGTAGGGGATTGATGCCCTAGTATAGTATTAGTAGGGAATATTGCCTATAGACTATATAGCCATGCATTAGATCCTCTAGCCTTCAGAAAATTTCAGGCTGTGGAGGAGTTGGTTCCTATCAGATTCTAATGCCACTAGGCTAAAAGGGTGTCCGGACTATATCCCAGTCAGGATAGGGTCTCATATCTGTAATCATAGTGGTATTCCATTTCTAACAATTCTGATAAGAAGGAGTTTAGCATCAATTTCCTCATCGAGAGGGTATACCTCGAGTGGAAGGAGAGCCAGGAAGAAAGTGATGAGGAGACTAAGACTCAGGAATAAACATAGAACAGGACTGAACAATCAATTGGAGTAGTGCATTTCCCTTTTCTCTCAATTGTTTGCAATGGCTTCTCTAGTATGAAATTTGCAGTGAATACAAGGGATGAAGCTGAAAGCTGATGAGCTAAAGTGAGAGACATGTGGGGCATTAGATGATCTACAGATGATCCACACTCTCTACCCCATAGGGTGCAGGGTCTTCTGTGTGGAGACTTATTCTTTTCTTATATTAGTTTTGTGATTTTAATTATGATGGATAATGTTTAGCATTGAGTTACTGGGGCCGCTCTACATTAAATGACAGGTATGAAATCAATCTTGTCAACCCTAGAGCTTTGAAGTTCTGGAGCTCTAGCCTCTAGGGAGTAGTGAAAGAGACACAAGACTGTCTGTACTATAGTATGTTGTAGTTCCAGTACATATACATTTTACTCCGAGGACCAGCATTAGGCGTAAAATATTTCCTTCCATCTGTTGTTTGTTCTGATGATTCCAGATCCATGGAATGAAGCACTCAAGGAATTCGCCCGCCGCCACCAATCGCCAAGTCTCGAACCTTCATCCGCAGGTGACAAACTCCAACATTCCTATCAAGCGTGTACGCGGCGTGGAATTTATCCTATAGGCTCTGGGATCGTCCTCAACCTAGAGAAGATTTCGACCTTTTCTGTCGATGATGGCCATATTCAGACTTACTGTCTTGGGACGTGTACTACCGGAACTGTAGAATTTTGACTTGTTGCGCAAACCACGTTGCTAGATTACCATGAAAGGACACTTGACGTGCAGGAATATCCGATTGATTCAATGGCATTGCAGGGTCACAGTAGGGCGTTATTTGCAGTGACCCTAGTGTTCCTGTGTCTATCATTCATTGCTGTTGCTCTGCGGTGCTTTGTCCGGCTGAGACTCGTGAAAGCCTTTGGATGGGACGATGGCTTGATGGTATTGGCCATGGTACGTGAGCTGATGCGACCCTCGACAATAGACAGAACAACTAATACTCATACTCAGCTATTCAATATCTGGTTTGCAATATGCGGGTTGGCTGGCTCAGTTGCCGGAATCGGGAAAAGGCTTGATCAGTTCGACTCGGTAGAAGATGTTCAAACGGCTCTCCTGGTAAGTTCTAGCGGTATCCAAAGCTGTCTATTACCCTGACATTTACATTGCATGAACAGTGGTGGTGGCTTGGGCAGAGCGCTTATGTGTGGGTCGTGGCAACCGCAAGAATCTCCATCGCAATGCTGCTTCTCCGTCTTACCGTCCAGCGGCGCCAATCAGCCGTCATGTATATCGTAATTGGCATAACGGCCACTGTCGGCCTCGCCTTCTGGCTTATCCTGACGTTGCAGTGCCATCCGGTCCGAGAATTCTGGCAAAGAACGGGCAGAGGCCACTGCATCAACACCCAGTATGTACTGGACATTTCGTACCTCTATAGTGCGACAGCCTGTCTTTGCGACTTCACCCTTGGACTCTTTCCTATATATCTTCTAAAGGACCTGCGTATGAGCCGGAAGTCCAAGTGGGCGATAAGAGTCATTCTCAGCATGGGATGCATGTACGTCGGCAGTCCGAAGAGGAGAGAGACTCCCATACTGACTGCTCTCTAGTGCAGGTGCTGCCGTCGCAGCCCGTATCCCCTTTCTCCCGGACTATAAAAATCCAGACTTCCTGTGTCAGTCTTGCACGATGAGAGTCAGCCAAGTGTGTAATAACTGTCGTTTCCAGATGCGACCACTAGTATCGCTATCTCGTCGAACATCGAGGCCGGTCTCGGCATCACGGCTGGGTGCCTCGCCACGCTCCGTCCACTCATGCGCTGGCTCCGAGACGTTAGCCACAGGGTATCGAACACAGCGAGAGGGGCAGCATGTAGCAGTAACAGAACCCAGAGTTCCTCCGTGCAACAGAGACAAACCTCACCAAAGCACGGGCGATCGGACATTGAAGCAAGTATGCTGTCTCATCCATCGCAGGGAGAGGAACCTCAGTTTGGAGCTGGGCCGATATAGATGCCTGGTACAGAATATGTACCGTGGCTGGTCCAACTTGGAAGGGAGGGCAGGCTCTATCTATACACAGTGGAAATAAGACTAGCGCATATTGTCCAAATGTACCGGCTGGACCGGTGATCTTATGTCTTATGCAAATCAGTCATTGTGCAAAGGGGTTTTCATACAGAGTGGTTCAGCTAAGGATTTAACAGAGATTGATTGTAACCAGATGCCATCATGGTGAGGTCATTAGAAGCATGAAGACTAAGAATCCTGTATCATCAGGAAGCCAGAGGGTAGTAGATGAAATGTATGTTAAACCGGGTGTATTCCTTCTTCTCTTCTGGCGAACAGTGAATAAGTCATTCGGACCTTCCAAAGATGGCAGTGAATACACACAGCTTCAGCCGCCGCGCCGTCGGGGTCAGTCGCACAACCAGTGAATATCCCTACCAGGGCATCCAACACTTCCGAGACATCATCTACAGAGAGAACGCAGCAGAATCCAAACACCCCTACGTGATCTTCTCCAACATCAATGAGCAAACCTTTATGCGGGACTTTTCCGAGTCGCGGGAGCAGAATCATTTATACAGCGACTATTTCCCTCAGCTCCAAATTCTCCTCGCCAAAAGACCACCCACCCGGGCCACTGAACAGGCACGCAATGGGATCAACAATGCGATTGTAGTCAAGCGGCTCGGGTTCATGGATAGGTATCATCTCGATGATCAGCTGCGAACCCTCGGAAGGGCTGATGTTATAACTCCTGAGCGCATCAAACCGCCCGACATGTCTTACCTGCCTGTGCGGGTTCCAGCCGGCCGCTCCGATTGCTGGCCATCGGTAGTGTTTCAGTGTGCCTACTCAGATTCTAATGGCAAGCTGGCCAGTGATGCTCGCTGGTGGCTGAATGCTTCCGGCGGGGAAGTAAAAACTGTCCTCGCCATCACAGTTTGGAGAAAGTCCAAGGGAATGACTTTCGAGACGTGGGAGTTGATCAGCCGTCCGACGAGAGGAGATATAGAGAGAAAGGTGCCCGAGGTGGTCCAGAAGGTGGTTGTGTCTAAGGAAAAAAGCGATGATGCGCCAGTGCGTATCACTGGGGCTCCCCTTGTGCTAGGTTTTGAGGAATTGTTCCTTCGACCTGCAGATGAGCAGAAGGGGGAGGGGGACATCGTCATAGATGGAGACGAGTTGGCCATGGTTGCAGAACATGTATGGATGAGAGACTAGTCAGTTCAATAAATTGGACTGGAGGAGGTCGATACTGCAGGTGGATCCAGGATGGCCATAACACAGACTGGCCCATACTTGCCGCAGAACTCTACCTCGTCTCTACGGTAAGTTCATCCCATTACTATAGTTCATACAGCCTCGGAGCTAACACTGCGCTCAATCACTGAGCAGTGCAGAGTTGGTGACCAAATGTTCGTTGTACACAAATATTCAGCAGCTCATCTTTTGAATATATTCCAGATCTTGCTCTACTTCTTGTGAGGATGACGCAAAGACACATATTCATGAGACAAAAGGAGGTATGACCATGGACACTTTTCAGATGCAATAACCTTGGACCGGTTGGTCGGTCAAGCGTACTTGGCCGACCCGAACCCGAGATGTCAAGTATTGGTGTGCTACATGTGATACATGCCAACATTTCGCCAAAAGGCCCTCGAAAGGCGCTCATCAGTCTTTCTTATGCCAGAAACACATGTTGCCGCGGCTCTCCTAGGTCACTTAGGATGGGATGATCCGGGTGTGTTGGGAGAACTGAATCTGTTATTTAACAGTCTGATTAAGGAGGCTCAGGATTTTCTTTAGAAAGCTTCTGAAGATCTTATATTTTCAGCCCAGGAAGCTATGAAGAGTTTTGAGAGTGCAGAAAGAGAGATATATAGTAAAGATTCAGCCTTTGCTTTGTTAGAAGAGGGAGTAAGTAAAGTAGAATATATTAAAGATATAGAATAACAGATAATACCATTGATGATGACACCTTGGGTTAGGTGGTTATCAACATAAACTTTAACAGTGATACCTAAGTTAAAGGTTATGTCCACAGTGGATATAGGCACCCTTTGATTAGTATTACTGGTATAACTAATAATGATAGAGATAGACCTGACAACAGTGGCTATGGCATTGATAATACTGAAGAAGAAGATGATGATGATAATGAAGAGGAGAATAATAAGGGAACAGACAGAGGTAGTACTAGAGCTGGTGATAAAGGTGAAACTCCTTAGGTTAGGAGATCTATCAAGGGTGATAGGGTAGTAAGGGGGGGAGGTAATATAGCAGAGAAATATAGTATTATTTTTAATTAATTACTCATGCCTATCTCAGGGCTTAATCCTTAGGGTAGATGACTGGGATGATAATAACATTATTGCTGAAGATGGAAGGATCTTTTCTAACTATATTATTCTTTAGTTATGATTGCAAGTTTGCAACTACTAATTATGAATAAGATGAGATTACTTTCCTTATAATTTGCCTCCCCTTCTAGTTAAACTGATGTCTAATATTTCATGACTTCTGATTGCAGTGAGGCTTGGCCTACTCTTCGGAGTGCTATGCGACATCCCTTGTACATTTGGTGATAGTGCCGAAGCAGTCTTCGGTAACCTTGATTTCGACTGCTGGTTCAAAGGCAGAAACCACGATCCTTCTTTAACACCGTCCTCGCAAATGACAACGTCCGACGAAGGGACAGCCCCGTGCCAGATATACTAACTACCTCCCGTTCGTCCTCCCGTTCGTCCTCCCGTTGGATGTCCCCTTCACCTCAATGTCCACGGAGAGGACATCTTGAACAGACGTACTCAATCGTCGGAACACTCCTATCCTGAACCGAACCACATCGGGTCCGTCTGCGGTTGCATTTCTGCCGCTGAGTTGATAGTCACCCTGCAGGCACGGGACACAGCAATCTCTGGCGATGATAGATCTTGAAGCCGGGTTCAATGGACAAAGGCGAGGAAGACGTGGTCATAGATCACGACGGCTTGACCATGACTGCAGAATTGACATGGATGGGTCTCAATACGGTTAAGTAAATGTTACAGGAGGATGAGACCGCGAAGACAGGCTCTGCCAACAGTATTGAAGTCGGATTTGCTAGATGTGCACAACCTCGTCCTTTTCATTGACTTTTGTTAGAGTATGATACCGCTACGATTATGGATATGAAACCCTAGACTGACGAGCACTTCGTCCAGACACATCCTTAGCCTAGTGGTATTATATCGATAACTTTCATGTCCGAATGCCTACACTACCAGGAGACACTGTGCATAATAAGCGCTATAGGCCGTGCAAACACCGGTGGCACAAGCCGTCGGACCCGTCCAGCCGAGTCCACCGCACTGTCCATACAATGGGGCAACAGCGGTCGTGGTGACTGTAGTAGTTGTTGTTGTTTTAGAGACGGTGGTAGTCGTGGGAGTAGCAGTAGTCGTTGAGGAACTGCTGCCGCCGCCGAAGCCACTGACAATCTGGGCCACTTGGTTCACAATCGCAGCCATTTGCACGCCTAAACAAAGTCAGTGATCAGTAGCAGGTCTGACCTGGACCAGCTTCAGTGAACTCACCTCCGAGCTGGTCAGCATTTGCTCCATACCAGCCAACCCAGTCCCAGCAACCGTTCGGGTTGGACAGCGACATCCCCGTCCAGACGGTGTGAATGGTGTTATCCGCCACTGCTTGCGGGTAGAGAATGATAATGTTATTGGTATCCGCCCACATGTTGTACCCGGTATTAGAAATGAACTTGCTGCCAATCATGCTGTAACTCTGCAGGCAGCCATGCAGGGCGACATGCAGTTTGCAAACAGTCGAAGACCCAGACTGGCATGCTTTAGGGACATACAGATATCCAGTGGTATCCATCCCGCTGGCGCCATACTCGCCCGTCTGGCTAACGGACACAATCGATCCCGACAGTGTGCCAGTATTTCTAGCATTCAACGACCCATACATCCACTTTAGAACAGCCCCTGCGCCGTCATACTGGCAGTTGCTGATATACGGAGAGACAGACGAACTGCACGAGTTGTCACCGGATGCGTCAAAGTCAGTGGGAAAGGTGTGCACCGCGCCGCTGGTCGTGATGTACAAGACGTTGGCCGCAGCGTCAAAGTTCGCCAGCTGCGCCTTCAACTGGCTCATCACGTTCGGACCGACGGTGGTGTCGGCGGTTCCGCTCCACATATAGATCCTGCGGTTTTGGAGGTTGCTGACTGGGTTGATCTGGTTGCCGCTCCAGGTCTTCATGTTGGCGATGGGGGCTGTGATGGATGGGCTTTGATTGTACATGCATGTAGTATACTGTCTCGCGTCAGTGTATCTGTTTACTTGAACGTGACTATTTCTGGGATGTTGGAAAAATGACTCACCGATTGCCCACGAGCACAATCATACGGGCCTCCGGCAAAGACCCCAAACCCGACCTTGAAAGTATCAGAGTATGCAACTCCAAGCTGCGCAGACATGAACCCTCCGCTGGAGAGCCCAGAGACGGAAATTGAATTCGGGTCTACATTGTATGCACCCAGCGCTGCGGCGGATGCACTCGCTGCTCCGGACATAACCAGCCCTAGGAAAGTAGCAACGTTTGGCATTGTTCTGCAGAAGAGAGAGATGCTTTATTCTTTGAATTATAGGAGTAGTCAATATCTTCATAAAGGTCACGACCGAGAGAAGACCATGCATTTATAGTTCTAGTTCATTGGGGGAGATGTCCCAGAATGTAGCATCAACATAGACAGGGATATATCCTAAGCACCCCGCATTTTCATGAAGAGAGTTACCCCAGAGTATCATTTTCTTTATACCAGATCCAATCTCTACTTCCATAAGCACATTCCTAATATGGACTAGAGCTTGTGGGGTTGAAGTTTCTTTAGCTCAGGCTTCTTTTGGGGATACCATGCTGTGGGGTACAGATGTTTTCTGGGGTAGCTTAGATCCGGTTGATATAGACCTCTGAACTGGGTTACATGCCGAAGAGTTGTGGGGTTGACTAATTCTCCCTAGCTCAGGCTCTTCTTGGGGTGATATACGGTGGGGTGCAGATCTTTGCGGGGGTCGGATCCGAACAGCTTCATTTTACTCCTGGATGACCATCATTGCGCCGTGGTTAAGCAGGTCGGAAGCTTATGACTGGGCAAGTGTAATAGCGAATAGCTCCAAATTAGCCACTTTTTAACTGATCACATTAAGGCAATCTGTTGTATGGCGTAGTGCCTTGAGTAGGTCCATGACTCCATATTTGAAGTAGTTGAAAGCACGCTTTGCTTGGTCGTCAAGCGTAGAGACTCTTGTAGATAGGCGTATATTATGAGGCAATTGCTAAGACTCTGCTGAAATCTTCGACCAATCTCCTCTGTTTCTATCAAGGTCTCCTGCGTCCATGAATGTGATACAGACATATGTAGGTATGGATGTGTTATGTAGACAGTACAGTGCAAGTGTCTTCTGTCCAAGTTACTGTAAATGATAAGAGTGCTAAATGCTACCAACAACATGGAATGAGAGATGCACTACCAAGCACAGAGATAAACAGTCAGATTCATTCTGAGCGTATGACCAAATACACATTGCTGTAGCTCACAAAGGCAAAGCTAGCTATAGCATGCTAAAACCCAATAATTACAGATTTTTAATTATGACCATCTTTGTTCCTATCATCTACAATCCATTCTTTGTCCTCTGATCTGAGCCCCCTTGCTGGCTGCGTTGTCCATCTCCGGTCTGTCCCTCGACTTTCTTGTCTGTGGATCCCACAGTCGGACTTCCAAGCAGAGGAACTTCTTCATCCCCTAGCATCCATTTCTCAACGACATTGGAGGCTCCCGTAGTCTTGGACAGAGCCGTCCCTGCAAATAACGCGATGGCGGGTAGAGCTCGCATCGAGCCAGGAAGACCATTTTGCAACCGAGAGGATTTGGCGAGTTTGGATATCTCGGCGGTTAGGTCGATGGGGAGCTTGTTCGCAGGCATGGATTCAATATTCTGGAGAGCTGATGAACGGATTTTCAATGACTAGATTTCAAAGGAGGAGTGGAATTGTCTGTTTGTCTTGGACAGGGTCGTACTGCATACTGTCTTGAACTAAACCGTTAGACAGGAGATTAGGCAGCATCATCACGTGTGCTTACCATGTCAGTAATAAGAGTAGCCTATATTACCTACCATTACTGTGTATTAAGTACGTTACTTCGATACGATGCTTGGTATACGCCTAGTTAGCCTGTTGACTATTGGCGCAAATAGCATGGGAGACTATCTGTATTCTCAGTAAAGGGAATGCTATGATAATGGCTAGCATACCTTGAGTTGACATTATTTAGTCTGATTTATTCTAAGAATATAGTGATATTTCATAGATATATAGCTTGCTGTTCTGCCACATCACAGCAGTTGAGTTCCCATATCAACAAAAGCCAACTTTCCGCTTATGATAGCTGGAACGAGGGTTGCCTGTCTTCCAATGGACCTACTGCAAAATGTCTTCAGTTTCCCAGAAAACCTAAATCAGCGACTCTCAATCACAACTGTGAAGAGACAATCTGTGGAGGCGGCATCTGTCGCGAAAGGTCAGATCGCTCACTTGTGGAGACCCCGAGACGCAAAGGGACTTACCTCAAGGACAGAACGAGGGAACGGGCTCCGCAAAAGCAAGCTCAACGACGAGAAAGAAAAGAACGACGGCTTTTTTTGTATCAGAAAAAAAATTGGGTGGTGCTCTGATCCTAAGAAGCAATGTTACTCCAGCTCATTTGATTTGTTCATTAGACTCACCCAGAACCTGGCGGAGCTTGTTGTCCATTGTAATAGCATCTGCTAGGGAGTGTAAGTCCACCTACAGCACTTTAAGCTCTCCTATGAGCTCTGCTGGCCTGTTTAACCCTATGCAGGCGATGTTAGGCTGCTTGGCGTATGCTGTGGCTAAAGCTTTAAAATCCCCAAACCTCAGGGGATTAATTAATCCTTAAGGATAGCTATCATATCCTGGCCAATGTATTCTATCCAGCAACCTTAGACCCCCCCCTTCCTGTCCAACTAGTACATGCTCCCGAAGAAGGCTGGGTACCAAAGGGTTGGTCATAGGGTACAGCTCTAGCTGCGCTTTGTGGCGGCCCTAGTTGTGATTTTGGAAAGCTGCTAGGGCATCAGCTGCGAAAGTCATCCATGGTTGAAGGGTTCCGATAAATTTTACTGGATGGATAGCGCTTGAGTCGGTATGATGATCCCCTCTTTGGAGGTCAGGAAGTGGTTCTTGCACCACAGTGCTTGAGTGGACAATGTTTAATGACTTTGCCGGCACAGGGGGAGGCCACTCAGCCCATCCTGCCTGCTGGATGCGGCGGTGGTAGCTCCCAATAAGCTCAGTTAAGCAGTTCATAACGGGCGGGTGGAGTATCATGTTGTGCCATATGTCTTAGCCTCCAATCAATTATGTCGCAGTCATACCATGCATGAAACGAGTTCCAATGCTGTTGGCTGGGATGGCCCTATGCGTAGTTTGGACTTCAATGCTGTGGGTTCTCGGGACCTATCTTCACGATCTCATCCCTCCTGTAGCATTTAATTACCTGTATTGAGCCCCATCCACATCAAGTCTGCAATGAGGGTCAAGTCATTGTGATCTATGACCACATCCCCCTCCCCATTCTGCTCCACAGCAGGCCGGAGGAACAGCTTCTCAAACCCTATGACCAGGGAAGCCCCAGTGATATGCACTAGGGCATTATCACCCTCCCTAGTTATAGTCACCTTTTAAACCACCTCAGGCACCATTTTTCCCTGGGTTGCCTCTTGTAGGCCGGCTGATCGCCTCCCACTTGTCAATCATGATGGCCTTCCTTTCCTTCTGGACTGAAATGGTAATAACTGTCTTCACTTCTCCTCCAGAATTTCCATAAAGAAACTCCAGTAGCCAGGCGCGTCTCTCCCCAGTGCTTGCCCTCACTATTTTATAGAAATAGTGCAATGGGTGCTGTCACGTGTGTTAACTGACTTGCGAGGAGTCTTAGATGGCAGCGGCTTTGATTCGATAGCCTCGCCAGGGGCAAGGGGCCAGTCGCGGACTGCATCGCCATCTTCGAGGGCCGCCAGCAAACCTCCCTTCTCACGGATTGGACTATCCTGGTTAGCTGTGCACGAACATCAACGAAAGGAGGAGAGTTCGTACATCTCAAGGGGTCTGCGCTCCCTCCCCAATGCCCATCAGCCCGCCCGCTAAGCCATTCATTCTGCGATCCAAAAGATCCTCGTGACTGGGAAGGCTGTGGAGACTTCTTTCTCGTTTGCGAAGACGGACTGGGCTTCCCAGGTTATCGGACATGGTTTCGTCGGAAACAGGCAGAGTGAGCTTTGTCGGGGCGAGGCGCCATCTTCTACCAAGCCCACTAGATGAGTCTTTTCGGCCCCTAGATGAACTCCTTTTTCGGATTCCATGCTTCGAATCAGGTTTGCGATCAGGGGTGCCGGTAGCCTCCCTCTGGGCAGCCGCGAGAGCGCCCTCCCGGCTTGGGATTGTCCCAACCATTCTTACCAACCTGAGCACCACCCTTAATTCCTGTGGCAGACCTCTTTGCAACCAGACCACTTTTCAGCTGACCGCAACGAGTGGGATATTGTCAGCATGAAGGGCAGATTCTACGCATTGGAATCCGAGCCAGAGAGGTAAGCAGCACCTGTCCAGGTCCCAAGTAGCTATTGCTTGAGGGGGCCACAAGGAGTCGGTGGTGTCCACCTTGAACCTCTCAGCGAACTGGTCCTTGATCCATTTCCAGTCAGCTTGGTTGCTTTGGTCAGTCGACCTTGGCTGTGGGTCCGGCGTCTATAACAAAGGTATATGGCCCGCTATTCCAGGATTGTCAAACTTGGCTACTGGAGAGCGAGCCCAGTCCCTTTGAAGCTGAACTTGCACTTCGCGAGTCGCCTCAGGTCCTTCTCTCGGTGGTCGTGGAATCGCAAATAATAGCGATAAATGAACATTTGGATGTGACAAATCTTGTGCATCCTTTCCTCGCGACATCATACAAGGGCTCGATGAGTTCCTTCATCGCAGTGTGTCGGCTCAGAACGCTCCTTTTCACTGCCACCCAAAGTGCTGAGCCCTGTGAGATTGACGCTGCCTTTTCCGCGTCAGTCATGTTAGCATTGAAAGCCGCCTTTGTAGCCGATCCTGGGGTTGAGGGATTTTGATTAGTGGTTTTATTCCTGGGGGTTTTTGTTTGGGTGCCTTGTTCTCTTACAGAGGGGCCCTTTGAATTCGATGTTGTATCCAATATCTTCAAGGCTAGATCCAGTAGCCTTCTCTGCAATCCGGCAATATTGAGCCTTCCCATATGACTAAGTCGTCTTGATCTATGATGACGTCCGCCTCGCCTTATCCTTATTTCCTTCGAGAGTGAAAGTTGGATCCACGGCGGAATCTGCAACGTCTGTTATAGATGCTGGAGGTCCCCTTGCCGATTGTATATCTAACGGCTATTCCCTGTCAAGATGTTTGGACGCACTGCTTGATTTCAGTCTATCTAATCCAGTGAAGGTTATCCCTCAGTCATGGACTTGAAAACGACTCTTCGGAGGATCAATGTACACATGTGTACTTGGTATAGCTGGTTTTTCGCGAGATTTGTGCCATGAATCTTGAAGTGCCAGCTTTTCTGCATTGAAGCATTATAACGGCATTGGATAGAACAAAGTAGCTCCATGGTGTTCTGAGTAATATGAGGATATGAGAGAGCGAGTTGGGGATGGATAAGTAGGTAAGCGGCTTAAGGGGAGATGAGGGATAGAATTGACCCTTCTGCCATTCACTGTTCGGGATAGCTGGTGAATGAACTTTTCATACTGGAGGTGAATGTCAACCAAGTATATGAACATGATTTTATTCTACTACTTGTGACAATATACCCTCCAAACATGAGACATCTATTTCAGTCAAGGCGATGGATACTCCATCAATTCCCCCGGTTTGTCTCTCCTCTGGAAGCTAAGAAGGATTATATTTATATGATCGCCTATCATTCTCTTCTAGGAACGGAAGGGATTCTGCGAGCTTTGATCTGGATCAAGTCTTCATGCAAAAGTTGCCTGTTGTAGCTGATGATAAACGAGATGTACACAGGATAAACGAAAAAAGGCGCATCAAAATATTGATCCGCATTTTCAAAACCCTCTATTGACCCTAAATTAGGGCAATATAGTCCCCAGTCCGGCATCATATAGGTTGGGGATGAGGAGAATTGCTGATGAACCTGCTGAGTCCTAGGGCTATAAAAATGCCATGAATAAACACCTTAGTATTACGTTGAAAAGCCAGTGCAGCTCACAGGGGATCTCACTTCGAAATTAGTCATCAATCATAGCTATGATTTAGTGACATTACTTGAGTGTATACATTTGAGAGAGGTAGAAGAATCATTTGTGCACAGCGTATTATGTGGAAAGCCTGGGTGACTCAGATTAGGCACCGCCTCGAGCGATCCCCAGCAAAAGTCCGCCACCGGAAAATATTCCTTTCATCACGCAACCATCTCCCCGGCATCCTCATTTGGCTTTAATCATCAAGATGAAACTCTATCTCATCCGACACGCGGAAACAGTCGATAATGTCGCTCATAGATTGTGAGTCCCTCCTCTACTTGTCCTACAATCACTAACGCCAACAGAGCCGGGATCAAAGACTCCCCCCTGACAAATCATGGCGCTCTCCAGATCACCCGTCTAGGGAGATATTTTGCCTCCCAAAACATCAAATTCAGCCATATCTTCTCATCAGATCTGTCCAGAGCCGTCCTCACGGCCGAAGGCCTTAGCGCCCATCAGCCAGAATTAAGCCCGGTACTGCTGCCAGCGCTCCGCGAACGCGACTTTGGCTCCTTCGAGGGGCAAAAGTGGCATCCAACCTGGGAATCGAGCATTGTTCCCAAGCAGCCGGAATCCGAGGTGTCCATGCGCCAGCGTGCAAATACATTTCTCACTGACTACTTACTTCCCTTGCTCATTGCTGGCGACGAGGCTGGGGATGAGGCTGGGGATGAGGCTGTTGTTGCTGTTGTCTCGCACGGGTTACTTCTACGGAGTCTGTGGCGCGCTCTGCTCGCGTGTTTTCCTCCGAGCGATGTTCGCATAGTAGAGGACGCGGATATCAACGCGTTTAACCCGTTCTGGGCGAATACAGGGTACTTGGAGGTGTTGGTTCGTCCGAAATTGAGTCTTTCGGTAGGAGATCCGGATATGCTAGTTCTAGGCGGGTATTCACTGCAGGTACTTGGGGTAAATAGTCGAGCACATCTGGCGGATCTTCAGCGTACGAAGGGGGGAGTCGGGAGCGCTACGTTTGACCAGCGGCAGAAACGAATTGATCATTTTTTTGGTCAGAAGAATCGATAGGCCTTGAGCTTGTCAATCTGGCAGACAACTAAACTGATTGGACGGCTAATGGGATGATTCGATCCCTACGATCAAGCTGGACTTATGACATACACCTTACTGGACGGACGGAAGCTCTAACGACGACTACGAGTTGCCAAGCACCGAGTAGACGTTTGGATTGCGGAGCGAGCAATTTGCATTACCTTGAACGGGTCATTTCTCCGCTACATAAGCCGGCAGATCTGCTGCGGGCTCCTGAGAAGCGGGATTTGCATATTGCACCACTCTTAAGCATTCTAAGAGGGAATAGCTTTGCTTTTCCTGCAGAATGCTGAAATATTTAACCGCAATTTCCCCGCTTTTTGAATATGATCTGCATTGTTCGACTCCCAACTGGGAAATTCTCCGCATATCGACAGTGCTCAGATAATGTACCACAGGAACTGCGCCGAATTGGGTTATTGGCCCGTTTAGCGTAAAGAGTATAAATGCCTCTCTAGCTGGATAGATTTCAGTCTATTGTCCACAGGCAAGATGGAGTCCATTGTCACACTTTTATTACTTTCGCCAGCCCTCGCGGCTGGTTCTCTTCATCCACGCATCAACAATGGCCTGGCTAAGACGCCACAAATGGGGTATGTTACTCCTGCTGAAGATTGACTTTTACTGACTAGCCAGATGGAACACGTACAACCACTACTCATGCTCGCCTAAGGAAGCCATAGTACGCTCCAACGCCAAAGCGCTCGTTGATTTAGGACTCGCCTCATTAGGCTACCGCTATGTGACCATCGACTGTGGCTGGTCGGTAGCTGATCGGCTTTCGAATGGCAGCTTGACCTGGAACGAGAACTTGTTTCCGAGCGGCTTTCCCGCCATAGGAAGTTATATTCACGGATTGGGGCTGCTGTTCGGTGTTTATGGGGACTCGGGAACCAAGTTGTGCGGGAGTCCCCCAGACCAAGCTGGCAGTTTGTGTAAGTCCCGTCATTCATGATTTTTGGCTTGGCTAATTTACCAGACCACGAACAACAGGATGCGAAAACGTTCGCTGCATGGGGGGCGGATGCGTTAAAGTGTATGTTCGTCCCTTAAAGATAGAGCCCCGCTGATCGTGTAGTTGACAACTGCTACTCGGACGCCGCCACCAACTACCCCAATGTCAACTACCAGCCCAGCACGTCTCCTAGTTCCCGCTACAAAACAATGGCCTCTGCGCTCGCCGGTGTCGGTCGACCAATCCTCTTTCAAATCTGCGAATGGGGTGTCGACTTTCCTGCTCTTTGGGCCCCTGCGCTCGGGAACTCCTGGCGCATCGGCAACGACATCATCCCCGCGTGGCGAACTATCTTTCGCACGCTGAACCAGGCCGTTCCCAACACAGCTTTTGCTGGACCCGGTCAGTGGCCAGATCTGGATATGCTGTTTGTGGGCAACGGGGTGTTTTCGGTGCCGGAGGAGCAGACGCACTTCTCGCTGTGGGCGATTCTGAAAAGTCCATTGACTATTGGAGCGGCGTTGAAAGATGATGTCACTAGTATCAACCAGGCATCGTTGGCGGTGCTGAAGCAGAAGGATGTCATTGGGTATAACCAGGATTCGCTGGGGGTGAGTGCGAGTCTGAAGCGGAGGTGGTCGGACGAAGGGTACGAGGTGTGGAGCGGACCACTGTCGGGCAGCAGGACCGTGGTGGCGGTCATCAATTGGAGAAATGTGTCGAGGGATCTTACGCTCGATCTGCCTGATGTTGGTCTGCAATATGCACAAGTTGCCAGAAATATATGGGGCAACACCGTGGTCCGTGATGTGCGGACCTCGTACACTGCGACAGTAGCAGGACATGGAACGATGCTTCTGGAGTTGCAGGGTACCGTTCAGTCGGGGTCATATCCAGCCAATATCTTCGCGACCTCTACAGGTCAAAAAACCACTTTCCAGTCGGTCTATGCAGCTACTACCAGCGCAAACTACATGCTGGCCATCACCTTTTCGGGATCATCCACCGAGACCGTCACCATCACGACCTCTTCCGGCCAGACTGTCTCGACCTCCAGCAAATCGGCCCGGGTCGCCCTGGCGGCTGGATCGAACACCATCACCATCCAGCACACGGCCCCTATTGAGTCTATCCAGATTACCCCACCGACCGGCACCTACTACGCCAACACCGTCTTCAACGTTACCGGCGGCGCCCAGCACACCACCTGCGGGTCCGGCTGCAGCCCCGTTGGCTCCAAAATCGGCGACCTCACTCCCAGCAGCAACGCCTACACATCCATCCCGGCAACCACCCCGGGGTCCAAGTACCTCGCGATCGACTACATCAACAATGATGTCGCCTTCTCGTCATCTTGGGGCTGGGGATCCAACTCACGCAACCTGACCGTCAGCATCAACGACGGGGCGCCGGTGCGACTGGAGGTCCCATTGAGCGGACGCAGTAGCGAGCTGTACTCGGCTGGCAAGGGATGGTGGGATACAGCGACGCTGGGGGTTTTGACCTCTGGATGGAAGAAGGGGGAGAATAAGGTCGTGTTTGGGAATCAGGGTGGACAGGGTGGGTTTCAAACTTATGCGCCAGATTTTGTTGGTGTCAGGGTTTTGGATTAGAGAGATATCTCTCTAAGCAGAGATCTTGTCTGCATTTGCTAAATGGTTCTGATGTTTGTTATGAAATCGAGCTGCCAAGGATTAGTCTAGTCTACCCCAATCCCATGAGTCACCACAGCCAAGAAATACCTAGTATTCGTGTTAGTTCATCCACGGTTCTCCACTGGAGACCGGAGCTGCCCCGTGGGCCATAAGAAAGGTTGGAACGAGCTCGGCCTAATCGGGAAACCGGAGTTAGCCAGTTGACAATCGGCGGCTATAAATGAATGCAGCTTGTGCATCGATCAGTCCAAGATTTCTCTACAAATTTCTGTCAACGATCGTCCTTGTATCTGTACGATATGACAACAACGACAACTACTACTACCAAAACACACTCTCGAAATGAAGACAACCACGATCTCGCCAGTATCCAACTCGAAGCATCGCATTCCCCTCCGTCAGGGAATGTCTTCCCCGTTATCGAAAGATGGAACCATCCCAAGTCAAACATCTACAAGACCCTCGCCACCTTCTGGGGATTTCTCGTTATGGGCGCAAATGACGCCGCATACGGTGTAAGCCTTCTACTCTGTATCTTCATTCATTTCAATAACCGACACATACATAGCCACTAATCCCCTACGTAAGTATCAGTATCCTATACTGCCAGCCAAAACATACTGACCGACAAGTTGGAACAACACTACTCCCTCACCTACACCATCGTCTCTCTCGTCTTCCTCTCTCCGCTAGGCGGGTATATGCTCGCCGCACTAACAAACAACCACATCCACCTGCGCCTCGGCCGGCGCGGCGTGGCCATCATCGCCCCCTCGTGCCATATCCTCTCATACATCATCAACTGCCTGCACCCGCCGTACCCCGTTCTCGTGGTGAGCTTCATATTCGCCGGGTTCGGCAACGGGCTCGCTGACTCCGGGTGGAATGCCTGGATCGGCAATATGGCGGATGCGAACCAGGTGCTGGGCCTGCTGCATGGGTTCTACGGTGCTGGGGCGGTGCTTGCGCCGTTGATTGCCACGGCGCTGGTTACGAAGGTGGGGGTGGGCTGGTGGTATTTCTACTATATCATGGTTTGCGTTTCTCCCTTGGGTGTGGGTGTTATGTGTTGACGTGAATACAGATTGGCTGCGCGGTCATCGAGCTGGTGACCTCGGTTTACTGCTTCTGGGACGATACTGGGGCGGTCTTCCGGCGGGACACGCAACATTCGACTGGCAGCGGCGGCGGTAGCCTGCGCAAGACGCTGTTCACGAAACGCTCGGGGAGGATTACCTGGCTGTGTTCGTTTTTCCTACTCCTGTATGTCGGTGTGGAGGTTGCGCTGGGCGGGTGGATCGTCACGTTCATGATGCGCGTGCGGCACGGCGAGCCCTTTGCCAGTGGGATGGCGGCGACGGGGTTCTGGTTGGGGATTACGGTGGGCCGGGTGGTGCTGGGGTTTGTGACTCCGAGGGTGGGTGAGAAACTGGCCATTTCTGTAGGTCTTCCCGTCCCTTGATTATTGGATGTTGTGCTAATGCTGCGCTGCAGATCTATCTCGTCTCCTCCATCGGCTTTGGTCTCATCCTCTGGCTTGTTCCGAACTTTTACGTTTCGACCGTGGCGGTATCGATCCAGGGCTTCTTCCTCGGTCCGCTGTTCCCTGCTGTTGTGGTCGTGGCGACCAAGTTGCTGCCGCGTGGCTTGCACGTTACCGCGATTGGCTTTGCGGCGGCCTTTGGAGCAGGAGGCGGCTCGGTGCTGCCGTTTGCTGTTGGGGCGATTGCGCAGGCCAAGGGGGTCAAGGTGTTGCAGCCGTTTGCGATTGGCTTGCTGGGGGCGATTATGGGGTTGTGGATGGGGTTGCCTGGGATTCCTGCTCAGCATGAGACTTAGCGAGTCACAAGCGTACATATCTGGTATCAGAAATGGTGATGATTCTGAGTCGATGGTTGGGCATTTTGCCGTTTCGGGAAGAGTTGGAGTAGTTGGGCGTTTTTCCTATTCGGGTATATCACTCAACTTTGCATCTCACCGTCCACTGTCAATCATCCAGCAGTTGATAGTATAAGAAATATTAAGACATGTGTCCACCTACTGCTATTGTTCTCGTGTTTCTAATTTACAGCCTCAAACTATTGCGAACAGCTATGGATCTTCCCAACACTGTCTAAGCTACAAGGTTCCAATGCCCGGAGTCCACTGGAGAATCGAACCGTCGCATGCTATTGCAGATCAAAATAGGAGGATGAGTCACTGAAGTAAGAATTTGTGGTCCGCAGACACAGTAGACTCTTTGCTCCGTCATCACAAGCATGATGAACATCTTTCACACTAAATCCATACATGAATTCTGACCTTCGTTCAAGAGGTATCTACAGAAGTGCAGCATCAGTGGCATGCCAGAATACTGGCCTTGTCGATACTCAGCATGCTGATGATAGGCCAACTCACTCTGCTAAGTGTCCGTCCAAGCCGGAGGAACCACGAGCTTATATGATATCGATAACTCAACTACGCCTGTGGTCCTGTCGACAGGTATAAAAGTCATACATCTTCCAAGGGCCTCTACAGTGCGCGCTATTCCTCTGCAGATCCAAGAAAGCAGTCTCGCACAAGAATCCATATCCATTCGAGACTTAGCATAAATAGAACACCACGTTACCACCCATATCCATATCCATCCCATTCCCATTACCCAGAAGCGAAAAATCAATCAAACAACCATCCCACAAACAACCAACACCAGCAACCCCACCCCCAAAACCGACACTGGCTTCCCCCCAGCACCACTATGACCCGTCGCACTCGCGCTCGCCCCCGTCTTCGTGCCCGTCCCCGTACTCGACGCCGTGGAACTCAAACTCGCCGTCGCGGTGGCATTCAACTGCCCCCCGCAAAACACATCCTTGTTGCCGCCATTCTCCTTAATACAGTTCAGTAACTCGCCCATGCTGTGCCCCTGCGCGAGACAGTACATGTCGCACCCGTCGTTGTATTTCGTGACGGCCGCGGGGGCGCAGCATTTGTCCATGATGGAGGTGTAGTTTCCTGTTGCGGGGAGGGCGCACGCGACGTCCTGGACGGGGAGGATCCAGCGGTTGCCTGTGCAGGTTGCTGATGCTGATGCTCCTGAGGTGGTGGAGGTTGATGTTGATGTTGTGTCCACGTCCATACTTAAGTTGACTTTGGTGTAGAGGTAGAGAGGTAGAGTAGAGGTAGATTAGACTGGTGGTTGTATGCGCAGCTGTTTGTACGAGGTAAGAACAGAAAATTAAAAGAACAGAGTGCTCAGATTTCAATTATATAAACTAAAAGATCACAGAATCGCATGACAACAAACAAAGGATGTCAGAGCTGGCACAGCATATGATCACATTGCGCAGCCAATCAGCTGGGTTGTCCGGGTATCCGAGGGCTATATTTAGGTATCTGGGGAAATCCACGTCGTTTGTGGAACTCTATTGTCCTTGATTATTGCTTGGTTGATCCTAGCAGAAGATTCTAGCTTTGCTCTGTGTATAAATAGGCTCCAGAATTTGATGTATGAGCAGGGGATATACCAGTGACGTCATTACATATTAGAGTACCGCACATATGGATCAATGCATATAATAATTATAAAGGCTTATTCTGTGCCATTAAGCAGAAGAAGAGTATGCTTAAACAGAGTCATTTGGTGTAGAGCAGTCAGGATACAGCAAATCACATAGATGAATCTAAGATGATTGAACAAAAGTATATGCTCCGCTGCTATCTTCAAGGGACCGCTGTCTCTTCGGCATAAGGATATCAAACTTTCCATTATAGTATACTATACAGGTTAGATATCTGGAAAGCAATCACTCAAAGTCTATAACATTATTAAACATAGGTACATAACTATCATACATCAATCACGACTTCTACTCCATCCTCTTCTTCACCCCCTCCAACACCTTCCTCGCCCATTTCTCCCTCCTCTCAAACCCCCCATTAAACAACCCCGGCAACACCCTCTTCGCATTCGCATGCTCCTCATCAAACACAGGCCCCTCCCATCCCTTCTCCTGACACACCCCAACCGCCTCCTCCAGCAATCCAACACCCACCCCTTTCCGGCGGTACCGTCTCTCAACCGTCCACGCCCGAATAACTCCCGTCACTTTGTCCTCTGCAGCGGCAGGAACACCACGCAGCACAACCGCCCCGATAATCCTCTCCCCGAACTTTGTCACCAGAACCTCCTGCTCCTGCTCTTCAGGGCCAGTGCTAGAGCGAGCGTTGAGCCACTCCCACCTCCCAACCCTCTCCGCCTCCTCGATATACCCCCCCGTCAACCCGCGCACAGCCAACAACCCCGCCATCACGCACCCCGCGCCCGTCGTCCCGATGAGCGGGAGGTCAGACGAATCGGTGTAGAGCACTTTGTAGGCGACTGCGATCAGTGCGACCATGGCAGATAGCCAGAGGGGGTGGAAGATGAGAGCGCGGGCGGCGGTTTGGCGCTGTTGCGCGACGGAGTCGGCGATGAGGCGGAGGGCGGGGATGAGGTCGTCTTTTGTGGTGGCGGGGTAGGTTTTTAATTCGGGGATTTCTTGGGGGTCATTTTGGTTTTTGGTGGCGGTGGTTGATGCCGTGGTGGTTGTTGTTGTTGGGGACATTTTGTTTGGTTTTAGTGTGGTAGGTGGTGAGGTGGAGGAGGAGAGAGTAAGAAAGAAAGTTAGAGACGGGAGTCGAGGTATTTAAGGATAAAATTCCAGATCGCCACTTGACCTCTTCGTTTGCCCTAACTCGGTTGGGAACTGAAATTTGAGACTGGATTTAATCTGTATCTTTTCTGGTTCTGGATGTGTTGTGCAGTACTGCGTGCAGCGTGCTCTCTACAGTGGCTCCTGGCACAGTTGTCATGTACATGCGGACGATGATTAGAGTACATTAAGTACATAACTATGGTATCTATAACAAAGGAACGGCCATAGGCACAAATTTATTCACAGCATGACAAGCCTGTCATTTATCCAAGATCATCAGCTACTAAACAGCCGCAACGGTCTCGTTGTCCGTCTTCTTCTCCGCCTGGATCATGGGAGAGTTCTGCACCAGGGTATCACTTTCAAATTCCTCCCCGGACAGCTGCTCCAGGGTCTTGCGCTTGGTCTCGGGAATTAGCAGAGTGGTGAAGCAGCCGCACAGCATGAACAGAGCAAAGATCTGCATGACATGGTTGAGCCAGGGCGACTGGGACGGGTCCTTGGAGCCCTTGTGCACCAGAGGTCCAAACACACACTGCGCGATGATGGCACCGACCTTGCCAGACGCGGCGGAGATACCGTGCGAGGTGGACCGGTAGCGGGTGGGGAAGCACTCGCCAGGCACGATGAAGGTGGTCGCGTTGGGGCCAAAGTTGAAGAAGAACTGCGCGATGACGTACAGAGCCAGCAGACCGTTGTTGGATTTCTTCAGGGGCTCGTAGGCGAAACCGATCACGATGAAGACGACGGTCAGGATGCTGAAGCCGAGCAGCTGGATGGGCTTGCGACCGATGGTGTCGACGGTGGCCACGGTCATCCAGTAGCCGGGGATGGCACCCGCACAGATCAGGATCAGGTTACCGACGGCGTTCTTGTAGAAGACCTCGTAGACGTTCTTGCCGCCGCTCCAGCCGATAGCACTCAGGATGATGGAGTTGTTGAGACCAAGACCATAGAACGCTGTTGAAGTTAATATCATTTCAAAGCTAGCTGGACAGGTGACGAGACTTACCAACATCGAGGAAGAACCAAGAACCAGCAGTACCAAGGAGGATACTTCCGTTCTTCCACTGCAAGTAGTGGCTCCAGAAATCAGCCCAGCTGGCCTTGGGGGTCACGTCACCAGAGTGGTTCTGGAGGACGGACTGGCGGCGGATCTCGTCGGGGTGACCCTCGTTCTTGCCGGTCATATAGGCACGGACGTCCTCGTCGGCCTTGACAATGTCATGGGCAACATCGAAAGTGTAGCGGGGAGTTTCGGGGATGGTGAGGCGGTAGTAGAGGGCGATGCAGGCAGGGACGGCACCGAAACCGATGACCACACGCCACATCTTGTCGACGGCGAGCTGGCAGACACCGGAGCACTTGCCCACGGAGCTAGCAGTCTCCAGAGATTCCTTGAAACCGGCAGTAACAATCAGAGCGATGATGGCCGCCGCGAATTGACCGAAACCCTGCATGGCAAACACGGAACCCATCATGGCACCTCTCCACTTTGTGGTAGCAAACCTAGACAAAAAAAAAGTCATGTCAGCGAAAGCCCAACAGCAGCGAAAGTTCACACAGCTAGGCGGGAGCATACTCAGAAGTAATGATAGAAGACAGAGGGTAATCGCCACCGATACCAATGCCCATAATAACACGCCAGAAGATGAGAATACCAACGATGGAGATAGCACGCGAGTCCGAGGAGAGAGCCTGAGCCAGAGTTGCGGCGATGATGATCATCAATTCAATACCGTACATGCGCTTACGACCGATGCGGTCCGCAAGCCAACCGAAAAACAGCTGTCCAATGACCGTACCACCAGAGGTAGACACCTTGATGGCAGTATCTGCGGTCGAGGGAATCTTGCCGGGGCTGGACTTGGCGTCCTGCCAGAAGACAACACCCAGCATGCTGGAGGCCAGGTTGATGGCGAAGATATCGTAGGAGTCAGTGAAGAAACCCACACCGGCAACGACGACGGCGCGGACGTGGTACCAGCCGAACTTGGCATTGTCAATCTCGGCCAGAGCCTGACGGCGGCGCTCTCTGGGATCCTCCACATGAGCCAACTCATTGTTGTAGTTCCGGAAGGCGGAGTTGCCGCCTTCTGTAGAAGCCATGGCTGGGGTTGGTTAAGGAGAGTGGAAAGTATTAAAGAAGTATAATTGAATGAAAAGACCACGCCAGGCAGGGGCTCAAGAGTTGTCGAACCTAGTCCTCGGAAAGATTCAAAGGAACTTCGTGGTCAAGGACGGGATCGACCCCCTTATGTACAGTGAGTACATAAATAAAGGCTTTTTTAGCGTACATGGCTCTGAGCCCGTGAACAAGATTAAACAATGGCTGCAACGAATTGAGACTGCGAGTTGGGGCACGATAGTGAATCTGGACCCGGCCTTGTTCATGTCAACCACTCCGGTGACTAAGGTATGTCACTCTACGCGCATGCGAGAAGCCAGGGAGCCACTAGTATCGCGACTCAAGCTCGTCTAAGCTTCATCAAGACCTTTGCCCAGCCGGCCGACGCTGCTTTTTCACTCTTGGTAAGGTAGGCGTTGCTGAATTGGGCATTTCACCCGTATAGAAACTGGCCTCTGATTGGTTCGGGTCGTCCGTGCTGTCAAACCTTCGGACTGTTTAAAAGCCAATCAAAACGCGGGTTTCCGGAGCATGCTCAGTTCCGCCGTGCTGAGTGGCCAGGGACCCACAGCCGCGCCAAGAAAGCGATGCCTCGAGGGCGTTTGATGGCTTGCCAAGTCTCACCATCTCTGCCACTTCTTGCTCTCTCGTAAAGTTCTACTTCACTGCTTCCAGGGTTACATACAAATGACATCGAACTAGCATCTCACCCTATCAATGAATGAGACGCTGCGGTTGTCGCACGTGCTGTCCTTCCACGCTATGCAAGTGACTTGGACCTCCTAGACACAGCCTGTTCGGGCGTCGACCCTGGAACAACAGAAGCAATATAATGGCAATATCAGCCATTCACAAGCAAAGAGATCACGATACATGCGCCATGCTGATGCAGGACTAGGAAAGAGAAGGGGCGAAGAATTTTCTGCGTGCCAACATTCCCTCCCTTGCGCTGGGGCGAGGCATACGCACGTGGACTAGAAGATGTTCTAGAAGGTTTGAAGCTGTACATGAAGTGTCTAGTTTTGCTCTAAGAAGGAGTGCTCGTGCCTCGGCCGCTTCAGACTCCGATTGAGGGTATACGCCTAGCGCGGCAACGTGTGTGCCTTGCCTGATATCAGCTTATTTGCCACAATCTGGAATCGCCGCGAAGGATTTTGAATCTGAAATCCCAAGCTTTTAGAATTAATGCTATGTTTCAATATCAGAATCCCCAACGAGTCAACAACAAGGATTCCTTCTCGCCAAGTGCACTACAGCCATGGCAGTGTAGCTTGAAGCAGAACAAGCACTTGCCAAGTTGCTACCGTCATTTGAAACCACACGTGATGAAACAGGCCTCACGGACATCTGTCCCGAGGTCCGCCTTGGCTGGAATGAGGGCTGATGCAAGCGGCGAGCCGGAGTAGATCTCCGATTGGCATGATGAATTGTATACAGTACCTCTCTATTGTATACAGAGTAAACATGATTACAAGCTGAACTTGATATCCAGCCTGCAGTAGTAATATGCATATATTGAGATCTCTTAGTCCCCACAGCCATGTGGAAATGGGGACGGATATACGCACTAACACCGATCGTCAGGTACAATTCCTATTCAAGTAATCCATGTCGCCTACATCTCATCTATGATCGATCTATCGTACAACATCTCCATAACCACGTTTCGTGCGACGTCACTGACCTGATATTCAATACATATACACCATAATGAATTACCCTCAACCACGGAACACAATCATGTCATACACTCATCATCGCTCACCGCATGTAGCATGTAATACGTAGAACATCATCATCATTATCAAATGAGTGGCGTCTCCTCAAACTACTTAAACCCCTATGACCAACACCACAACTCGGGAGACACACATGATACATGATATGATACATCCATTACTACTCCGTACACCATCAACCAACAACACCACTAAACCATGCCCAGAGCCCAAAGCCGAAGCCGAAGCCGAAGCCGAGAGCCAAGCGAAGGCCGCGACCCCGAGAATGTAATGAGGGGATACAAAGCGTACGCCTCATATTCCCACAAAAGGACGTAGACTGACAAAGCGCAGCACCCTTCGGAACCCAAACGTCTCGGATCAGGCCAAGCAACACGCGCAGCAGGAGCTCGATAGATACGAGAGTGGCCAGGCCACCAGCACGAGCGAGGATGAGCGCCATGCGTCGAATGTGAAGAGGGGGTTGAAGGCGTATGTTGTTTTTGATGAGAGTTGAGTGAGAGGGTTGGTGTCGATGCTGATGCTATGCTGAAACAGGGCAACGCATAATCCCAATGTTACAGATATGGGGAAGAAGCAGGCGAGGGATAAATTGCAGGCCATGGGGGAGCAGCCCGATCAGCCGAGTGATTAGCTGTTTGTGCTCTCTGATCGGAGTATAGGTTGTACACTATGCACATGTATTGTAGGGCTAGGCAAGCCAAGTCAATATATTATGTTGAGTATATCTGGATATACAAGTTGAGTCTATGCTTGTATCGTGGAGAAGGATTATAATCCTCGCTTAATCTTCCAGCACATGATGAATGCGGCAAATGGGTATAGCAGGATAGAAACTCCGATCCACGCAAACAGAATGCCAAAGTCGAGTCCGAGTCGTGAATGCGTGCCGAAGAGAATAGTCCGCAGCGCCTCGACAACTACACGAGTTAGATGCCGCAAGGCAAAGGCAATTCGAATGACGGAAGACTTACTGCGATGCAAAGGCCAGGCATAACCCCAAGCAAAGAACCCAGGCGCCAAATCCAACGCGTAAAAGCCAG